CTGGCAGGACCAAAGCAACCCAAGATGATTCGTGGTGATATGAGAGGGTCTAAGAATACTCTTGCCCAGCAAAACTCTCTAGGAACAAGATGGGGAGTAGAACCTAGAGAGTGTGTTAATCGCAGTCCATTCTCAAACATGAGCCATGGCTCCCAGGAAACTGGGAGAATCTGCCAATCTTTCATTGAAAGACCCCAGTTCTTAGGATGGCAGAAGCCACATTACACACAGAGGCGTTTACCTGCAGGGGAGAAGCACCATTACTGTGGATCATGCAGGAGAACTGTTGCAATCCCACCATTAAGACCTAACTCACCTCATAATTCTGCATTGATTCCTTTCTTGAATTCTGCCTCAGAATTTTCTTCTACCTTGACTCTGAATTCTGTAGGGCCACTGAATACCCAGGCTCTGCCAGGTAACCCAGCTTCTGCCCAGTCTCAAAAACCCCATGCCTGTGAGGAATGTGGCAAACGATTCCGAATTCTAGCAAACTTGGAACGGCATCAGCAGCGTCATGCAGCAGAAAAACCACACCAATGTAGAGATTGTGGGCGCCGTTTCCGCTGGGGTTGCCACTTAGAGCGCCATAGGCGATCACGTCGCTGTGTGGAATGTGGTGGAGGCCTCACAACACCTCCTCCACCCCCAACTCCACCTCCAGAACCTGACCGACCCTATTCCTGTGGGGAGTGTGGGAGGCGGTTTACACAGCGCTCAGCGCTCAGCAAACATCGGCGTCTGCACTCAGGGGAGCGCCCCTATGGGTGTGGAGAGTGTGGGAAACGCTTCTTGCAACGCTCTGACCTCACTATTCATATCCGCTCACATTCTGGTGAACAACCCTATGCCTGCACAGAGTGTGGACGCCGCTTCAGTGTCAGTTCTAACCTCAGCAAGCACAGACGCATGCATCGGGGGGAGCGCCCCCATGCATGTTCTGTGTGCTCTAAACGCTTCCTGCAGCGCTCAGAACTTCTTATTCACCAGCGTGCTCACACTGGGGAGCGCCCCTATCCGTGCACAGCTTGTGGAAAGCGCTTTGCTCGCCGAGCTCATCTCAAACGCCACCAGCGAACCCATGGGGGAATGTCTGCCACAACTACTGCATCCCGGCACCAAAATGCTCATCTTTTCACTGCTCCCTCACCAGGTGCTATGTCACCAGATGCTATGTCCTTCATGAACAGCATGAATCTGGGGTGACTGATAGTCCTAGAACCACATGTTCAAGCCAATACAATTGCCACAGGGTCATGCCCACCTGTAGTTGGGCCTCCTGCTTTCTCAATGGCTCAAAGTTCTGTGAATGTTTCTTCACTGAGTCTACTCTGTGCTGTGTACTCTTTAGGATGTCTTCCCTTCTGCTCATAGCATTTTTGCCAGGGACCATACAAGTTCTGATTAGCCCATGGAAATAGCATCATACTGGCCTTTTATCCTTGTGTGTTCGGAGGCTGAGCAGATTTTTTTGCTTGGGCCTCCTTAAAACTTCTTTGCATGCCCTTATAGGGTACGGAGCAAATGAAATTATTCGTGATCATCTGATACATTCCCTGACTTGTTGATTTAATTTGATAATACCGCTAGCTTGTCAAGTTTGACAAGTCTGGAGGTAAAAGACACAGTAACTGTACTGTCCAAAGTTAACTGCAATTCATTGACAAAATTAATTATGTCTTACAAACCATAGTCATAACAAGCATTTATTACAGATTCACAGATGTAGTTCTTTTTTCTCTTGAAATGGTCCCCTACATGATTCTCCTTGTCTTCCCTATTTTTGTAAATTTAACCAGCCCCCCACATTACTCCTGGCCAAACTTCATTTTGAGCAGATTTGCCCTTGTTTCTTTTGTTGGGAAGAAGTCCAAATAGGCTTCACTGAAGGGCTTTGAACTCATTATCTGTAGACAAAAATGACATACTTGTTGTTGAGTCTACAGTATATATTAGCGTACAGATATTGTAGCAGTCAGTCTGTAACTGATTGAATTGGATGCAATTCAACTGCATGCAATTCAGTTTATGTCTAAGTGGTCTATGCTTCTACAGCTCCAAAGGATGATCATGCCCAAGTATTGGATGATCCAGAACTGTCATGAGAGAACAGTGGTTCAGAACCAGGAAACAGTGTGGTGGTTGATTTGGACTTCGCTGCTGTTTGTGGAATTTGGGAAAAGATGACTCATACCTTGAAAAGTATTATTAGTACTCTTTTACCCTCAGCTCCGGAGAGCAAACTAGGAACTTGCCTCTTGTTGAGAATTCTGGACTGGAGGATTTTAGAATGGAAAGAGTCTGTTTGCGACATCTACTAGTGATTCAGCCAGCTTTGAAGAGAATGGTAAAGTTGCTGCTGTGTAAGGACAACAATCTTTTGATGCACACTACTGTGACAGGCAATTCCCAGGTATATTATTATTTACCAGGCCAGTGTTATAGTTTCAGCTTGTATATTCTTCATATATGTAGGGCTGGCATTTTGTTTTCCATCGTGAAGTTGGCTGTGGCCTCTAGGTTTGAGAAGCCAATTAATATCTGATTTAAGACTAATGCAATAGAACTTTATCAATTTTTTTAACCTTGTATTTTCTTTTAAACCACATCGTTGAATCCCGGAACATACACATATGAACCAAATAGAATATTTTGCAACACTCTTCCACAGGAGCTGTTTTGCATCTTTCATATTATAACAAGTATTTTGGGTTGAGGTCACAGCCTCGAAATGGTTTGGAGCTTCTCCATTTTATGACTCTGAACATCAGGAAACTCATGACAATATGAAACACGAAAATTTTACATATTCAGTTTTTGATAATAGTGCCCATTACATCTTATCCAGTGCAGGTCTAATCTTTTTCAGGCCTGCATATTGTTTTAAAGCATGCATGGGGAAATACAATGTTGAAATGACTTGACCATGTTGTAAGAAACAGTCATCAGATAGACTAGCTGGGATGTGCTAGAATTGGATTCCATTGCCTCAATGGTGGGCTAATCTGATTTACAAATGAGGGCAAGTGTATGTGTCCCAGGATAATGATGCAAGATCGAATTTGGGGCAGTCACTGAGAGCAGAGATTTACTCTTCCAAGCTTTCAGGCTCACGCTGGAGCCCATCTTCAAACTTCGTCAGACTTAAGACTGACTCTTTAGACTCTTCAGACTTTAATCTGATTTAACAATAGCTGTTTGGATAAACCTTTTATAAAGACAAGTGATTAATTACTACATTATTCATTTTATTCAGAATGACCAGAAAATACTTGCTGATTAGCTAGCTGGGCATTACAGAATCTTGGGGAGATAATATCATTTGGATATTGATAGAGAAATAGAAAGCAGGGAATTGTTAATAACTCTTTGGGTCTGTAATTTTTTAATCACTCCTAGTAGATCACTGTCAGTGAATATTGTCTTCCCTGGATATTTTTTGAAACATATTAGAGCATGTTTGATAGGTTTTACCTGTTGAAAGGCTATTAAATCAGACATATTACCAAAAGGGCTTTTATATTCAGCTGGACAGTACTTGAAGAGCTGTGATAGGTAATTTGTTTTTTTCAGATTTACATACCTTTTGATCTCTACACTACCAGTGATTAAGTAGACATTTGCTTGGACCTCCACCATCAGAGCCTTTTCCCTTCCTTTTTTTTTTGCGTTAGGCATATCAGAAAAAAATGTTGCTTTAATAATCTTTGGCTTAGTAAATTAAAACTTATACTAGTCTACTTTAATTTTAAGAATAGGATAATATGGAACAAGAATTGGTTCCCCTTCAGAATTTCTATGTTACTAAAACTCTTGTTCTCATAACCTTTAACTGACCAAAACATAGAGCAACATTTTTTTTACCCCAAATAGGTTAATTTATAGAAAGTGTCCAAAATATGAGACCCATGAGTCCTGCAGGAATTAAATTTGGGGAAGTTGTGCTTGATTTGAGTACTGCTGGGTTATTGCTGTGGTCATGGGATGTTGAAAAATGATATTTTGGCAATTTCTGATGCTTCCTGCCAGATTTCCATAATGAAACTCAATGCAGAAGTCAGTAGGAAGTCAGAAGTAGCTCTTGTCTTTTTTGCCTACCCTTGTTTAGGTAAGGAAATATCTCTGAAATGATGACCCAATGGAGCTTGGGTTGTCTAGAAATATATGTTTTTGGAATTCCCTGTTTGTAGTTCACTTCTGCTAGGATCTTCTCTAACCTAAAGCTATTAGCAAATGGCTCAACTACTCTCAGGGCCTGAACTTCATTGATGGGAGTATTCATACAAAGAATACTCCAAATTACAAGAAAGAGACAGATCTTGATATTTAAGCAGATTCTTAGATTTTTGTTTATAAATTCCAAAAAAATGTTGATGTGGGAACTATTTTTATGGGAATTGTGGCTCAAGACGCAGAAAATAAAACATTCAAGTGAAGACTTCTGAATGTTAACCCAAATTCTACAGAAAGCTGTATTTACAATGAAAATTATCCTATAAATTTATAAAATTACAAGCGAGGATAAAGGATAGTACTATTCTTTATTAAGAAATACCAAAAGGAATGCATTATTCTCCCGCTTCATTTTGGGCTCAAATAGGCTGTCTATGGTGAAAATCAGGTAATATTATCTGGATCATGGAACAAGTAGGTTAGTCATCATCTTGAATCAGCGTCCATCAAGTTTCAGATCTTTGGCATCACCTGCAGCAGATTTAGATGAGGAAGAACATGGGAACAGCTCTACTTTCTCTTACCACTTAAATCTTCCTATAGGGGTCAAATAGATGTCCTAAGGATATTTACTAAGGGAGTTTACATAACGGCAGTGTCCGGCAGTTTTATTTATTCCACAGAATCAGATACGTGGTCCTGAATGTGAGATATGTGCCTTTGCCTTGTATTGGACATTATCTTAATGAACTCATAAGTCCTTTTTAAAAAAGCCTTTATGTGTACTATGTGAGACAGTATTCCAAGATTAATCTTGATGCATTTGGTTTTGCTTATTGCTCACCAATTCCAACTGGGGATAATCTGCTAACTTTCTTTCTGCAGCACTTGTGATAGATAAACATCTTCCAAACTAGTAAGCAAACAGAACAAAAATCTTCAGGTGTATTATAAAACAAAATAGGCCATAACATTTTTTTAATGGAACATTGTGGTTATAGGCCTTGGAGTTCCCCTTGTTTCATAACCAGTTGGTTTGCCACGACTTGCAGTTCCAATCTCACAAAGATTCCCCTCCAATGCAAACAGTTCCTCTACTATAAAATGTCTGCAAAATGCGGACAAAATCCCTTGGCCTTTCCTAAACTGTAACATAAGAAAGGCAGTAAAAATTTTCTCCCTAAACTTTGGCTCTCAGAGAGCAGTTGATTGCTTGATGCTGTGGAAACTGACACGAGTTGGGGATGTAGGAATGGACATGGCCCTTGCTACTCGGGCACGGATGGAGTGTTTGTCTTGCCATCGGTGCCACCTCTTTCGTACTGCAGAACGGACCTAAAAAAAAAAAAATCACAAAAAGTAAACATTACTTCCCAATTTCTCCTTTGAAAGGACACCTAGATTCAATGAAGACTAAGGCCCTTCTAGATGTATTACAGTAGCCTTGGGTGATCTCATGACTTTTGGAAGAATTTCAACCCAATATATGATCACATTGATTGAAGATGATGAAATTTATTTTATGGGAAAACGCCTGAAGGCCAGGGTTTTTAGATCACAATCTGCTTTGTATAAAAATATTAAAGGGTGTATTGTGAATCCTCACTGTTCTAAATGCAAAACTATAATCTGTAATGAGCGTGTTTATCAAAGGTTTATCGAAGAAAAATGTATGAATGTCCACATGTGAAAAAAATCTTATTTTCTCAGGATACTCATGCAAATAACTACAGAAATTTTGTTTAATTAATGTTGGCGGACGAAAGGAAAAACAAAAATCTTCCAGAGAAAATTTCAGTCCCAGTAATCACATTCCTGAGGATACTCTGCAGCAATGGTAAGTTTACTCATTAATTCACCTAAAGTTGGTTATATAACAAGTGGGTCCTTTGGGATAAAGTAGATAAATACCAGAGCAATGTTTTCCAGTTGATGAAAAATTATGATAGAAGTAGGGTCCAATTTGAAAAAAATAAAAGATTTGCTATATCACAAGCAGTGGCAGAAATTGATTTCTAGATAACTACATTAGGGAGACAAGATACAAGAAGAGGAAAAAGTTCTTGCCCTTTAATTTGGACACAGATATTCTTCAGGAATGAGTGTTCCTTGTTCAGACATAAAACTACCAGCATGCAGTTTGTCTTGATTCTCTTTAAGCCAATTTTTCTCAAACTCATGTTTGTACATATTTTAGGAATATATAGGAAGTAATCCTTGACTTAAGATTCATAAACTTGGTGACTGTTCAAAGTTAACACTGAAAAAATGTGATTTATGGCTATTTTTCACACAATTGTTGCAGCATCTCCATGGTCATGTGATCAAAATTTGGATGCCAGAAAACTGGTACGCATTTATGACAGCTGATATGTCCTGGAGTTAGGTGATCACCTTTTGACACGCAGTAAATTCACTTAACAATTGTTGCAAGAAGCGTTGTTAAAGGGGGCACTTAAACTCAATTATCTCACTTAGCGAACAGAGATTTAAGATCCAAATGTGGTCATAAGTCAAGGACTACCTGTAGAAAGGCTAGCGTTCTAATTTAGCATGCCCATTTACCATTCTTGTTGGGAATTCCTACATAACACAAGATTGAGAAAGACTACTCTAGACATTACATCAATTCTCCTTAAAAGCTGGGAACAAAATATTTGGAAAGGAAAATCCCAAGAAGTCTTCCATCTTAAAATTGTTCTCAACGTTTAAAAAAAGTTTTCATTTATGTCTTCCCCTCACAATTGTCTAAAATTGTTTAAAAGTATTAGATATACCTTTAATAAAGATATTAAATTTATCATATTTATACCAAGCAGCATTGTTGTCTTCAAGGTGTTCCTCAAAAAGAACATTTAAATACTAAAAGACACTTGAATTTCAATTTCAAAAATTAAACCAACATTTGAAACTTTAAAAACTTAATTTCTTCATATTCCCTTTGCTATATTCTGGGTTTTTTTAAAAACCTGTAATACTAGCTCTCAATTCTCCCAAAGAAAGTTAATAACTAATCTCCTCTTTCCTTCATTTCCAACCCCAACTCACCTCACTGTTCAGGAAACAGTAGAAAACAGAGACAAAAAAGCCCTGGATGGAGAAGGGAAAAGATGATGGAATCAATTACTGTTTAGAGAAGAGAAACAAATTGCCATGATTCCCACGCTTTCTACGAAGCAGGTTCAATGTCTTTCAACAGACACATACTAGCATTCGTGTTTCTAATCTGTAAATCTGCTCTACAACATGACTTGTCTTTTGCCTATTATCTAATAGTGTAGTGGACTTTCTACTGCTGGATTCTCCTTGTTTGCACATTGGCAATCTCTGAATTTTTTACATTTATCGGAAGATTTTGATTAGAGATACAACATATTCCCCCCAGCATTGTACAAGAAAATGGACTGTATTTAACTCAAAGAATGGGATTCTTGGTAACAAAAATACACAATCTGAGGCCTGCACTGCCTTGAACACAACCTGCAAAGTGGGTTCTTGCCACTGAAAATTTCACTGAATTGAAATTTGAATGTCATAAAGAATATCATTCAATTCTTGGAGAGTTTTTCAACTATTTGCATTTTTTAAATGTAGTTACATTTAAATTAAATACAAATTCAAACACTTTTAGCCTTTTGGGTCTGTCAACCTTTTAGTAAGTGGTCCTCCTTCGATTATATTGATGTGTGTTCCCCATTTCTTGAAGCAGGAAGAAAGTGTGTGAAAAACACTGCTCCTGCAGCTTATTGATAAGAACAGAGTACATAAGTGGGAATGGTGGAAGAGCAACAAGTTAAATAAATACATAAAATGCCTTTAAGATAAGATGTCCATATACCTTATATATAATATCTCTGAAAAAATCAGATCGATATGAATAGCATGTTTCCATCCTCCCAATTCATTTCAGCTCTGATTTTTGTGAGGTTCTGCCTACCTGGAAGGACTCCAAAAGGGAGTTGAAGTAAATGAAGACTATTCTGGATATTTCATCTTCCCCAGGGTTAACAAAGAAGAGCATGTAGGTTATTCCTAATAATGGAAGGAGCACAAGGGTGGCCTTCACCGCTTTCCTGAAGGAAGAGAATACATGTTACCATCCAGACTATAATCTTTAGAGTAGAGTAGAAATCTTTATTGTCTCTTTAAATGTACACTAATCAGCATACATTAAAATGAAATTTTGTTGCATTCAGTTCTCAAAAGATAATCTTTATGTATATACCCACATATATACACATATATGACACAGAGAAACATTACAGTCTAGTTCAAATGTTTGTATGCTGGGAAATAAAAGAACCCTATGAGTTTACAAGAAGGATGCCATGTTACAGAATTTAGTAGTCCTACTATAGATATTCCGAAACCACCTCCCAGAGGGGAACAACAGAAACAGACCACGAAGTGGTTGTGTGGGGTCTCTGACAATGCTTTGAGCTCTAAGCACATAGCGCTTATAAGCAGTATCCTGATTAATGGGAAGTGAGCTTCTTATAATTTTCTCAATTGTCCTTACCACTCTCTGTATGAACTTTCTATCTGAGGCACTGCTGCCACCAAATGAAACAGTGATGCAGTTTGTTAAAATACTTTCAATCGTGCCTCTGCAAAAGGGCCAGGACAGAAAGAGAAAGATGTTTGCCTCTTCATCCCATGTAAAAAATGCAAACACTAGTTTGTACACTTCCCTAAAGATAACTTACGAAAGACCAAGTCAGGTCCTTAGTTATCTGCACACCCAGATACTTAATACTACTGATCACCTCCACAGCTGCAGCCTTGCTACAAAGTGGAGTATGATTATGCCAGCTCTTTCTAAAATCAACAATGATCTCCTTTTCAAAACCAAGTTATTTTTATTGCACCCGTCCATGAAAGCTTTCACCTCCTCCATATAAGAGTCTTCATTGTCATCCCAGATAAGCCTTATCACTGCCGTGTCATACACATACTTCACAATGTGATTCGTTGTAGACTTGGCAGTCATGGGTCATTAAGGTGAACAGTAATGGACTCAAGCCACAGCCCTGTGGGGAACCCTTATTTGAGATGGAATTGGAAACTTTTCTTCCAACTTACACAAACTGGGGCCTATCAATTAGAAAATCAAATATCCAGCTAGTATCTCACTGCTGCACCAGTGAATTATTATGCTGAACCTTAGGTAGCAGAACAAGTGCGGAGAAGTTGATAAATCCAGATGTGCTATATGTATGCACGGCTTTCTTGCAAATAGAAAATTAGGGCATCAGGCCAAAGAATAATTGCAACTTCTTCTGACCTGTTGTTGACAAGGAATATTCTACACAAAAACATTACATTTTACCAGACATTTTCCCATATACTGTACAGTATACTGTATATCAATATTCAACCTTACAATCTGTTTTCCATGCCAGACACCCTTTTCTTCATGAGGAAAAGGACATGACTTGGCTTCCACCCAATAAAACTTGAATTGGCCTAATACTGAATCCTACTTCAGTGCTGGTAATGAGACATTATTCTCTGTTCTCTCTGAGACCAATAGATTAGTAAGGGTGTTGGTTTGGTATGCTTTCTCCCAACTACACTGTTGCCTCGCAGTAACTCTGCTGACCTTCCTGCATCTCCCTCTTGAAGCTGCTTGGTCTTGTTTTTAGGACAGGCCTTCTTATAACCCTCTCTCTACTTTTCCCTCTTACACTGCTCATTCCCATCTAAGTTAAATACCTGTACTGTATGGTCTCTGAGGTGGTCGAAGCCCGAAGCTTGGTCATTAGGATTCTGACAATATTGAATAAAAAAATAAAATTGATCTGGAACAGAAACAGAAATCAATTTGAAACTGATAAAATAACTGGGCAGGGAGCATTTTATACCAAGTTGTGTGTTAAAGTTATTCCTTAACTGAATCCATTATAGAGCGTAGAAGAGTTGGAATAGTACCGAAACATCATTATCTTGTTGTTACTTGTACTTGTTAACATCCGTATTGCTTATTAATCCTTGCATTTTCCCCCAGCAAGTCAGGAATAACCCCATCAGGTACAAAATGCTAAAAAAAATAGACAGTCTCAACACCTCCATTTTTCAAAATAGCAGCATGTTATTTATAGAAGATGGTCTGAAAATGGGAAGACTTAGAAAAGCTTAGAGAAATTTTGTCATCGCAGTGCAACCATTTCATCAGGTTACATTACTTATTAGCCTCATATAATGGACTCAGGTACATCCCAGTGTAAAGTTCAGGAACAGTCAAATAACAAGTTAATGATTGAGTCCTTATTTAAACCATGGACTTTCTGAATATTTGATACCCATCAAAAGACATACACACATATTCAAGCTGAAATGGCTCCATATCAATCTGCATGCAAACCAATAAGTATTTGTCTTCTCATAGTGTATACTAAATGTCCTATGGGATCTTCACTTGAGCCATTCCCATTTGCTTAGTTATTCATGGTGCTATAATGATATATTTATATATAGATTTAAGAAATTCAGTCTAGTTTCCAACTCTCACAGAATATGCACAGCCTGTCTTGAAAATACATTTTATACATTGTTTTAAAATTTCCAATATAATAGCGAAATGCACTTTTTAATTTTAATTTTTCAGTGTACTTCATTCTCTGCCACTGGGAGGAGCTATTTTCTCAACTATTCATTTTCTTAACTATTTAAAGGAGATAGATTTTATTTGTCAAGAATTTATCAAATGTACTTTTCTTTCCTTGGAAGTGTTTCCATTAGAATAGATTAGAAAATTCAGTTTGTGGTTTTTATCTTCTGTTACTAATCAATAGAAAACAAGACCTCTCTGTTTAATTCCGTCTTAGGCCCAGTACTGTTCAATATCTTCATTAACGACTTAGATGAGGGAATAGAAGGGGAACTTACCAAATTTGCAGATGATACTAAGCTGGCAGGAATAGCTAACACCCAAGAAGATAGGTTCAAGATCCAGATGGATCTTGACAGACTAGAACACTGGGCCATATCCAATAAAATGAAATTCAGTATAGAGAAAAGTAAGCACCTACACTTAGGCAAGAAAAACCAAAAGTCCACATCTAGACTGGGTGAAACTAGGCTCAATAGCAGTAACTGTGAGAGGGATCTTGGAGTCTTAGTGGACAACCAGCTAAATATGAGCAAGCAGTGTGCAGCAGCTGCCAAAAAGCTAATGCAATCCTAAATTGTATTAACAGAGGGATACATTCAAGATCAAGGGAAGTACCAATACCACTCTATAAAGCCTTAGTAAGACCACACCTAGAGTACTGCATCCAGTCTTGGTCACCACATTATAAAAAAGATGTTGAGACTTTAGAAAAAGTACAGAGAAGAGCAACCAGGGTGATTAGGGGACTGGAAGCTAAAACATACAACGAACGGTTGCAGGAACTGGGCTTGGCTAGTCTAGTAAAGAGAAGGACCAGGGGAGACATGATAGCGGTCTTCCAATATTTGAGGGGCTGCCACAGGGAGGAGGGGGTCAAGCTATTTTCTAAAGCTCCTATAGGCCAGACAAGGAATAATGGATGGAAACTGAACAAGGAGAGATTTAACCTGGAAACGAGGAGAAACTTTCTGACAGTGAGAACAATCAACCAATGGAACAGCTTGCCCTCGGAAGTTGTGGGAGCACCATCACTTGAGACTTTCAAGAAGAGATTGGACTGCCATTTGTCAGAAATGGGGTAGGATCTCCCGCTTGGGCAGGAGGTTGGACTAGATGACCTACAAGGTCCCTTCCAACTCTGATTGTTTGTAAAGCAAACTCTGTAAATTCAACATTGCCTCCATTCCCTGATCATATTGTTGGATTGGTGTTTGCGCTAACATCAGATAAAGTACTATTGTCTATTGCATCGGCTATTATTCACTTTCTAGTTTTATATTGATTTTTATTCATTTATTTTATTACACATCTGCTCTCTCTTCATCAATGATCCTAGGCAGCTTACCACTAAATAAAAAAATCACCTAAAAATGATAAATATTAACATTTTAAAAAGCTAAGATAGCTAAGGAAGGAACCAGTATATAACAGAGTGGAAGTGGGGGGATTTTTTAATAATTAATCATCTCCATATGGAACAAACCCATATGGAGATGGAATGTGGGGATCTCAGACCAATGGGCAATATATTAATTCAGTATTATGCAATAACATTCATATATTTCTTTCTTTTAAGTGCCATACCTTGCTGAAGTCTTCAGCACATCATCATTGTTGTTTTTCTTTGTTGTGTATTTATGAGTACGCAATAGAACAAAAGCTGAACTGGTTGTTTTTATTAGTATCAGCTTGCCCATAGAACAAAAAGTTTATTGGATGTGCCTACAATCCTTATATAAGAAAAAATTAAGTGTATATTTTTAAGCTTTAAGAATTCAATATAAGCAGCAAACAGCAAGACAGGTTTGGGGCTACAAAAAGTTGTAAATAAAGGTCTCAGAGAATATTGGAATATTTTATTTTGAATATTAAGAGTTTGAAATTAATTTTAAAGAATAAATGCATAAATATTTTCAGTGTTGGCAATATAATAGCATAATCAACTTATAGCAGCATTCAGAAAAAATGGTTGAGGAATGGCAACTGGACCTTGAATCAACATTTTTAGTTAGATTGTGTTTTTATGAATACCCTGTTCCCAGAAGGTAGAGTGGAAGGAAAACAATTATCTCACATGATTATGGAGAACAATATGAACAGGAATTTATCACTGGATATATTAAAAAATGGATGCGGCTCTAAAAATTAAGAAGAAAATAAAAATATTTTTAATGCAAAAAATGGTCAAGAGAGTAATTGTTCCTGCTGAATTTACAAAAAGGCTTTTAGAATTTTGAAGAAATTAGAGAGAAGGGAAAAGGATCATTCAAATGGATTAAAGAACAAGATGATTTTATGTAAAAATAAGGACTATAAAGTTGGCTGATTTGATTAGTGTTAAAATATATTGTTTCTTGGGGATATTATTGTTGACATCTGGACTGGAAAAGATGTTATCTATTTGTTTTTCTTACGGAGTATTATATTAACTAATGTGATTACTTTAGAGATCTGTTTTGACTTGCTGCTGATACCTGGATTAGAAAAGAGTGATGTCAAGCTGGTCATGGCCACCCTGGCTATGCCCATCCAGGGCACGTTCCCCAGGCCCCAAGGTCAAACACAACCCTGATGTGGCCCTCAATGAAATTGAGTTTGACACCCCTGGTCTAAATCTTTCACTACTGACAGTAGGGACCGGGACAGAAAGATTAGCAATGTTTTAGAATTGTGCTGGCAGTCTGACAGCATTATCACTGTCCACAAAACAAATAGCATTCTTCTCTACAAACAAAACCCTAGGCATTTAAAGTGCAGGAAGCAGGATCAAATACCCGAGTCATATTTAGTGCTAAATTCTGGGTCAGCACCATGTGTAAAAGCTGAATGGAGAATTGAAATCCCCTATTCCCTTTCTTCCCATGAGAAAGTATTAAATCAGCATTCAATCTCTTGTCCTGTCTTATATTACATAGGAAGCAGAAGATCAGTGCCTAAGGCACCCAGCAATATATTCCAAATTGTTTAGTGCGTTTCAAACCATATTTATGCTTTATATACATAACACCAAACCATTGGGGATTATAGAAGGTATAGGCCCCTATTTGAGAAGCTTTTATTTGAGGAAAGTATCTTTGGAAGAATGGAATTGAAACAACTTTGGACCGAAAGATTTTCCGGAGATCGATTGCTGTAATTTCTAATTGAGGATCTTGTGTCCTACTGGCTCTGTCAATTCAAGTATAATTTAATACTCAGATTCGGAAACATAATGACCACAGTTCACAGAGAACAGAAACAACTGCAATATTTCTGTATGCCTGGCATCAGCCTCTAACAATACAATCACTTCCCACTTTCTCCCCAGGACTCTGCATTGACCAAGGTTGCAACAGAGACATGGTTAGGTTAATAAGGCAGTGACTATTATCTTCATCAAAGAACATTATTAGCAGGCCTGCTGGGAATAGGGAATGTGTGTGAAGTATGCTGCGTTCAATTCATACAGTGGTGATAGGGTGAGAGAAATTGGCAGGGAAGTACAGCAGCAGGACAAAATGGAGTGGAAAGAGGAGGTGTGGGAAGAAAGAAGGGAATATAAGAAAACTAATTCAAGAGATGTATCATTCTTTTGTTGTTACTTTAAGATAGCAAAATGTGACATTGCTTTGGAGGAGAGATCTCTCTATTCCTGTAACCCTTGTCTTGTGGAAATGATTACCCACAAGGAAAGAAATCATTGGACTTCTTCAGTTCTCCTTTTTTACATAACTGAAAAAATGGTTTTGTATTCTTAGTGGAGAAGTGTCTTGCAAGGAAATTTTTAATGCTCACTTTGTTTCTTGCCCAACCTACTGACACTAATAAAATTAGGTCTTTTTGTAATGTCATGAGAGTGAAAAAGGAAGGAAGAAAAACAACTTGAGAATAACTCCCTGATGCAAAGCAAGTCAAAATATTATTTTTCCAGTACGAAAGTGTAAAGAGTTACATTCAGGAGGACCAGAGGCAGAGCAGAACAGGGTTCTATCTTTTCAGAGCTGAACAAGAGAGACACATTAGTTTGCACATTTTTCTGCTACTAATAATTAACAGATCTTGCCAGATCTCTTTTTTCATTCATAATTACTGTATTGGAAATGCTCTTCTCTTTTGCCTCTAGTCACCCTGGAAAATTTTGGCATTGTACAAGAGGGGACTTCCACTCTTACCAGCAGCACCAGTATCATTGGACCTTGATAGATGTAGTCAGTGTAAACTCCTGCACGCTTTCCAAACCAGCACCTGTAAATTAAAACACAAACAGATGAATCAATGTTTTTCAAACTTGGCACTTTTAAGATATGGTGACTCCAATTTTCAGAATTCAGGTGGGCAGTTCTGGGAACTGAAGTCCACACATCTGAAAGTTGCCAAGTTTTAAAAACATTGACTTTAAATATAGCTGAAGCAGAGGTAGAGTTCAAGACTCAAATACATATTTTGTTTCAGCTACATGAAATAATAACACTTACAATCTGCCCAATAGTACATTAAAAAAAAGTCTCACTGTTTGGATGCTGGGTGCCTTTTGACATTCAACAATTAGCCCCTCTCCAGAGAAGCAAGGCAAAGAAAAATATTTTTTGATTAATTCATAGTCTACTGACAGTCTACTCAAAAGCCATAATTTGCTCTAGGAGAGAAATCCATTATAGTCTAGAATATTATTTTTAATAACTTTACTTTTGTAACAAAACAATATTTAATCTTCATTTTTTTTAAAAAAAATTAAAGATACGATCTATTCACTGCCTTATTTATTAACAAGGTGAAACTGAAACATACTCAAATAAAAATATAAATTAAGAAGAGTAAAATCTACCTTATATTTTATGTTTATCAGTAGACACTGGCTTATGAATAATTACAATAGTCCAGAATTCTTATGTGTGAAAAAAAGATTTCTTTAATCATTTTATTAAAAGCTAAGCACTTCCAACTGCTGAACTTTTGAAGCCTGGAAACTTCTCCCTCGCTAAATCGCTTTGAAATCACAGGAAAAAATCCTGCATTGTTGTAAAATACAGTACATATTGTAAAGTACACAGCAAGAAAAATAATATCTGCTGAGAATAAAGTATATCATTAGCCAATAAAGACATTTGGAATGCTGAGACTATGCGATCAGGTAGAGATCAATTTCTGGTTTACCTTCTGGTAGATGAGAAGTAGCCAATCAAAAAGCATTCATCTACCAGAAAGTAAACAAGAGAAGTAGATTCCAAACAGCTCTTTCATTCCTCAGGTCATTGTTTCTTTTGAAGGTCCCAAAAACCTTTTGTATCACTTCTATTTTCTAAAAATGTTTTATGGGACCAAGAGACTTTCTGCTAAATAAAGATGTTTGTTTGGTCTGGACCCAGTAGCATCAAGAGACGTGTCCCCTGGTACTTATGAAAATATAATTGCCTTTTTTAATGTATAATATTCTGCACTGTGCAGTTTTACTTTCACTAGGGGTAGGTTATTCTTACTTAAAATGTTAATGGAACTATTCATCCTATTTTGATATGCAAAACTTCCAATAAATCCAGTAGATGTCAAATCACATCATCAAATATGGGTTTTAAAATGCTTTTAGCTGCCAGTGTGTTTTTTCTTTGGACTATATTATGGAGGAGGTGGAGCAATATTAACTCACCTTTTCTTGTGGCCTCCAATTCTTAAGTATCAGGTCCTGTATTCCTGCAGTTTCTCAAGCATTCACACAGATGAAGTTTGCCAGCCAATGCTTCAAAGTGCCTATGTTTGCATTTGCTGTGTCTTTGCAGAGAAAGTTGCATACCTTTTATCCCAAATGAGGAATGCTTTTTAAACAGCTTGTAGCTGATTACAAGACTGTAACCTGGTTTCAGCCATGACCTCAGTTAGGACTTAGCATGGAAATGAAAATCAGGACTGGCAATTAAGGTAAAAGGTGGCAGCCTGAAATCAATCCTGTTTGTCTGCTTGATTAATTATGATGGAAGGCTTGCCAGGAGGTTGCTAAGTCTGCCATTATCAAATCCTTGGGAATGGAGGGCCAAGGGTACAGGGAAAACACTTTATCTGCTCTTGTTAAATTAGAATGGTGTTTAAATGAATGGTGTCTTTTGAGTTTCATTAGAGGTACTTGGTTTGTCTGGTCTGTTAGTCTCTTTTTGGCTGAATTCTAGTCTGTGATTGAATGATATACTTTTTTTTCAAGATTTTTTCAGTTTTCATTAACCATTCCACTTTTGCTAGCCACAGTCACAAAGAACCTCACAGCACCTTGAAACTTGACCAACTGTGCAAGCCCTAATAATAAAAGCTGAATTAGACTGGGATATTGAAGCTCCAGGCTTAGATCCTTATAGGTTTCTAAAAAGCAGCAGCAGAGTGTATAATTAACAGTGAAGGAGAACAGAAGTTAGATTTACACCATGATATTTGAGGTGAAGAAAAGATTGACTCTTCCTTGCCTGTACCATTGTTGCCCTTCAGGGAAAATACAATACAGTGTCTCAAGCTTATTTGTTCTAATGGGACAAACAAATCTTGCTTTATTACAGTAAACAAAGACTTATCAGATTATTTTCCTGAATTTGGAATGGTAAGGAACCAAAGCACATGAGAAACCCCAGAGGAAAGAAACGGTATTTTTGGAAAATCTGAACTGCAATTTCTATAGTCCCTTACCATCAGCAATGCAGGTTGAAGATGATAACAGCTGCAGTCCTAAAGAGCAGATTTCCTACCCCCCCACAAGACTTATGCCCTAGATGTTGCTATTTCTCCTCTACTACCATCTTAAAAAAGGCAAAATACTAAAGAGTACTAGAATATACTAGATACTTATTTGTATCAAGTATTTGTTCCACAGAGGAACAAAGCAGGCAGAGTTTCAGCTGTGTTGTGTATCAGAAAGCTGAAGGAAGTGGAGAAAATATTAGTGAGTTAATATATGTTGTATAATTTTTTATTTACACAACAAATCTGCAAAATGGATTGGGGTGAGACGTAGTAACTTGATTTATTGTGTGCTATCAAATCAATATCAACTCATAGCAACTACATCGAGAGTTTTTCTACGGGATAAACTGTCCCTAACATATTCCTTCAGGTCTTCCATTGATATACCTATTGTCTCTGTAAATTAGTTCGTTCACCTTTATCTTCAACTCTTCCATGACAGCTACTATAGATATTTGCATAATATGTCCAAATGTATAGTAAATTGAGCCTAAATCATGACTTCAGCGAGAACCTAGATTGATTTCTTCACTATCCATTTATTTATTTATTTGGCTGTCCATGGTATTCTCAAAAGTCTTCTTCAACATCAGAGTTCAAAAACATCAATACTTTTCATATTCTACTTCTTCAATGTAGCAATTAGAAAGACCTATGAAATAACTTCAATAAAGCAAGATATTTTTTTCAAGTAGAGATTATATTCCCTGCAACATCTGAACATAATAATCGCACTGTGGAAATGCCTCTTTCTACACAACTTGAAAAAGGAATTCCTTAAATGTTTTTGATGCTGCATTTACTTTGCATTGTTTTAATGTTCTGTTTGCTGTTTTATTTTGTATGCTGTAAAATTTTATTGCATTTTTAACTGATTAACTGTAAATTAAATTCTTTTAACAGAAGCTGGTGGGTATAACCATTAATACATTGCACTGGAAACCAGGGCAATCAAGTTCAAACCCATTCTTATATGAATGAAAACTCACTAGGCAAATTGCAGTATGTCAATTGCTGCCAGCTCAGCCTACTTCACAGGGTTGTTCCTATGTGGAAGAAATGATGGGAGATCTCCGTGTAAGGCTAAGCTACCTTCATCTCTTAGAGAAAAGATAGCATATACATCTAATATATTTATAAACAGTCCCTACCCTCATTAACTAGAGTTCTACTTGGATATTGCAATCCAAGGCAACTTCTGATTTGCAGGCAATCTGAAAATGGAAAAATCTACATTTTGCATAGATAAATTGCTTTGGTCAGATTCATGCTATTGAGAAAGGTGAGAGAAAAGAGGTAACCACTATGAACAAGAGGAGGCCTGTAAGTGGGGCTACTTACCCCTCCTACCTAACCTGAAATAATTTCAGACCATTCTTGATTGCAAAATGATTCATGCTTTTTGGGTGCCAGCAGGGCACCCACCCACTGTATGGTAACACAAGCTTGACTTGGAAGTCATTGCCATAGTAGCAGAAAAGTGGGTGTGGGATTGACTTACTTCTCGTTGTCGTAGTAGAGTTTTCCAATGGCCCAGGCAACAATGATGGGGAAAGGGATGCCTGTGAATAGAACAAGTAGATTTAGTGGTGCCATCAACACAAGATCCAATAACAGGTTCAACATGAAGGGATCCAGCTTCATCCACACAAACAACCAGAAACCTTTCTATTTCCTGAACCAGGACATTTTTCTCCCAAGGCTGAAGCAGCATATGAAAACTCAATCCAACACAAGATGAATTTGGGCCAAAAGCCAGTATAATTATTGTAACCCCTATGGTGGCATATCTCCCCCATCTGAGCAGTAAACTGTTTCCTTTTCATGGCATGAAAAAGGGCTTCTCCAAGACTTTGCCGAATGATAGGACTGATCTAGATGTTCTGGGGCAGTTTTCTGGGTTTTCTGAATACATTGAATCTGTGCAAAATGATTATGTGCCATCAAGTAAGTGTTGACTCTAGGCGACCAAAAAGATAAATGTATGATTCTGAGTTTACTCTCATATTTTGTTTCTAATACCAAAGCAGAAAAGCAGTTATTTGAACATTTAAAACGTACTTCATTTCAATAGGGACTTATAATTTATTTATTGGTTTTTTTATTTGTTCAATTTATAAAGATGTCAACTTGCCACTCCAAATGGTTAGAAAAGAATTAAAGGCATCCAAATAGAAACAAAACCCACAGCAATAAAACAACTGTACCCAGGAAACACAGGATCCCATTATGCAGTCTAGAACATTCACATGTCACCCCCGGGTCTGCGGGATAGTGGGATCAAGACCATATGGATATCAATATCTTATCATGATTCAACCACAGGATCTCCTTTAATTTTTCAGTATCAGCAGTAAAAGTAACATGATAGATTGTTTCTGAATTTTTGTAGTGGCAAAATTGGATCCAGAATTTGTATAGTAATAAAGATGAAAGGTTATAGAGTGTGTGTAAAGTTCTAGTAGGCAAACAGAAGCAACTCTTGGATATAGTGGATGATGAATATTAAGAGGCAACTGCAAACTGTTTCAGAAGAATTGCTCTTCACTTCAGGCCATGAAAAATCTTGGGGCATGTCTTTGCCTAAACTTAGAGTGATAAAGATTATAACATCTTCCTCCAGAATTTTTATCCTCCCCTCCTCCTGATATCCAACTTTTATGCTAGTTCAGGTGTGATTAAATTAAAAAATAATATAGTGATGCCCCTGTATATTTCTTTGTCTACCAGATATCACTAGATGGGTTGAGTTCTCTTCCTATCTGTGCCAATTGGATATATTGAGGGAATTCTTTTCAGGAGATGCCTCCTATCACCCAACAAACTTACTTAGATGCACCAACCCTTTCCCGCCCTTCTCCTTGCCACTCACACCAGCCAAGGCAGATGAACATCCACTTCCGCAGCTTGTCTGTTGAATAGGTGAGAACAATAGCAGTGTGTAGATAGCATCCTTCACCAAACATCCAGAAGAAGTTAGTGACATGGAAATAGTTGTAAGCAGCTGTGACAAGACGGCACCACGGCTACAGAGTGAAGGACAACCAGAATTAATTAATGAGAGCTCCAGGAAGCTTTGGGATAGGCAGCTGATTAAAAACCATTAAGATGTGGTAAAGAATCGAGGAACTATTATTCTTAAGGTGTGGTAAAAGATCAAGGTCACCAGTAGCCGTGGATGCCCATGGAACAACCAATCCAGTCACTGTATCTTAACACAATCTAAGCAAAGTCTATCCATAATCAAGTTGTTACGCAGTTTCCTATACCCTGCCAACATTTGAAATTCATTGAATGTCCTCCTTGTGCTGAACTGTCATTCTCATCACCATAGGTAAGCATTGTAGGAAATCTTATCTAAATGCACTAAATTAAGAAAATGTATGTTGGACATAAAAAGTGCTATCTACTTTATTTCTAACTATAGTTCTTTCTTAATGCTCCAGACTAGCAAGAATTTAACTAAACAGTTTTGGAAAACATTTCTTACAACTTATTATTCTAGTTTTATTTTTATTATTGTTCTATTTTTCTCTATAAAAGTTTGACAGATTTATATTTATTCTATGCCAATCATTCTGCTTACATTCAGTAAAATGCCTGGAATTTAAATGTGCTGGAATTGCTTTTTTACAGTTTAAATTGTGCAATTTTCCTAAAAATTTGTTTTGTAACAAGATTACTGTAAAACACAGAAATTGCTGAGTGAAATGTCATGTCTAGGACAGCGGTCGCCAACCTTTTGGACCTCAGGGACCACCAAACTAATAATTTTAGATCCCAGGGACCACTAACTGGTTCTGTGGGCATGGCCTAATTTGTGGGTGTGGCCTGGTGGTCACATGACTGGCTGGGCATGGCTTGTATGTAAATATTATAAATATTTATATAAATATTGATTTTTTTATAAAAAAAGAGAAACTTTTACCCAAAATCAGGCAAAGCAGGCAGGCAGATTGAGTTGCTCACAGAATCACAGATTCATTCAGAAATCTATCTGCCATTGGCTAGCTCAGTCTGTCACATAAAATTTGCTAGCAAGCAAACTCACAAAATTAACTCACAAGACACCATGCATGTAAATATTGGGTTTTTTTATTAAAAAAAGAGCAACTTTTACCCAAAATCAGGCAAAGCAGGCAGGTTGAGTTGCTCACAGAATCATTCAGTGATCTATCTATCTGCCATCGGCTAGCTCAGTCTCTCAAATTTGCTTGCCATGAGTCTGCACTGAATTTGCTTGCAAGCAAACCTTCAGTCCTAATGGAGGTTTGGCTGTACTTAAAAGCAGAGCAGAAGATCTAAAAACTAGCTAGAAAGCAAGAAATCCAACCATTTCCTGCTTCCTAGCTAATCTAAATCTCCTGACACAGCAGAACAGATGATGGTCGGAAAAAGGAAAAATAGAAATTTAGCAGGCAAGTTTACTGGGTAAGGAGTGAGTGGGCAGGGAGGGTTCCTGCGGGCCATGTGGGTGATGCAGCCTTGTGTTTCTGCACAGCCTGGATTAATCACTTTGGAGGGGGTGCTCTGAGGGTGAGATTTCTCTGCGGCCCACCAAAATTTTCTCATGGCCCACCAATGGGCCGCAGCCCACTGGTTGGTGACTGCTGGTTTAGGAAACAGCAATCTCGGATGAATGAGCCAATCATTTAAAAGGAGTGCAATGCAACATAAGAAAGAGCAAAAATTACAGCCCAAGAATGAAGACAGGTCACATTTCAAATTATGAGGTTTTAAGCATGGGGAAAATAACACTAACATCTAAAATAAAGTGTTGGCTTATCCTAGAAGGCAAAAGGCAGGAAAATTAAGTGGGTCTAAAAATAGGAAAGAATCTTCATATATTTCTCAGTCATTTGCAGGAAAAAAGTAGGTAGATTCCAGTGATGGGATTCAAAAAATTTTATTACCAGTTCTGTTGGCATGGCTTGGTGGGCTTGGCGTGGCTCATGACTGTGGGGATGCTGCAACAGTCGTAAGTGTGAAAAATGGTCATAAGTCACTTTTTTCAGTGCCATTGTAACTTTAAATGGTCACTCCACACAAGCGAAGTACCAGCAAAGGAGGGGGAAAAACTCCAGAGATGTTCCTGAGACAGGAAGTCTACTCCTGCCAAGAATGTAATAAGGGTTAACAGAGAGGCAGTTTCTGTAAGCAACACCAGAATGCTTCCTTCCTGCCTTCCTTACAGGATTAGGCCAGTAATTTCTTCTAACAACCGGTTCTCTGAACTGCTTAGAATGTTAACAACCATTTCTAGTGAATAGGTGCGAACTGGTAGAATCCCACCCCTGGTCAGAATCTGCTGAATACCACCTCTGGTAGATTCCTACCAAAAGCATGTTTTGAAATTTATTTAAAAAAACCATGTTCCCTAATTTTTGTGCAGTGCAAACAGTATTATGAGTTTGACAGCCAGCATTGTTTGCAGAAAAAAAATGTCAACAAGACTGTTGTGGTAGTGCAACTGAAGTCCTTCCCCTTTGTTTGTGTGTTTGCTTCCACAACTATTAGCTTTTTTGACTATATTAGACACTGGTATCTACAGCAAAAGATTGGGCTGTTATTTTCGGTTGATATATGATCCTCAGATTCCTTACTGAAACATACAGAACAGAAGTAGAGGACATGTAATCCTCCATTTATTATTGGACTTTATCTTCCATCAACGTCCATCAGTTAAGCCAATGATCATATACACAGGGAAGAACAGCCTATCAAATGTGGGAAAACCATATATGTTCTCTACCCTGGTACAGAGTAGAGGTCTTATTCAGCAGGTTCTGACCAGTTCTAGAGAACCAATAGCGGAAATTTTGAGTAGTTCGGAGAACTGGCAAGTCCCACCTCTGACTGGAGATTTTACATTCCCCTGCCACACCCACCAAGCCACGCCCACAGAACCAGTAAAAAAAATTGAATCCCATCACTGGTACAGAGATTCCTGATTCAACCATTTATGTTGTCACACTGTAATCCATCAAATTGTGCCTTTAAAAATAAAAATAGGCAGCCAGCCTGTAAGGAATTAAGCCATTTGTGCATTGGCTCTACCAGGCTTTCTGAAGAATGTCATGCCCAGACTTCAAAACATAGGCACAGACAGAACCAGATTTTCGGTGCGGAGATCATGATCCTAAAGGGTAGAATGTTTATTTTGAGCTCCTGAAAGGTTAAGGCAGTGGTGGGATTTAGCAAGTTCACACCACTTCGGGAGAACCGGTTATTAACTTTCTGAGCATTTTGGTGAACTAGTTGTTAGAAGAAATCATTAGGGCAGAGAATCGGTTGTTAAATTATTTGAATCCCACCACTGGGTTAAGGCAACAGTTTAACCTGATTAAGACCTTGCTCACATGCAAAACAGAAAGAAAGGAACCACAACTGTTGATTCCATACATCTGAGGGCTCCATGTGGACCATAGGCCTTATTACTAAATTGGTGGGCTAGCTGTACTGCATTGTTTCTGTGTCTCCAGAGATTTTTCTCAGCTAATGCCAAGGACTCAAACTAGAGTTTTTAGCATAAGAAATCTGTCCTTTGCCACCAGGCTAATCACTATCGGTAGTATCTTTAAATTCCATAGTGCTTTCCAGTAAAATTTTATGATCTTTTAAAGATTTTATTTTCACAACAGTCTAAGTAGTCAAGACCTTAAAAAACTGGTTCAGTTTCCTAAATTGTACCTTAAATTATTTTTTTTGCCAAACTCAGCTTAAACCTACCACATTGCTTTCATGAACTTCTGGATTCATGGTGAGTTGTACCACAAACCATGTGGCATTCCTCAAGATGAAAGCAGTGATCAGGTTCCAGTGGATAATATTTCGTAAACATCGTATACTCCTGCAGGAGAAAAGAAACCACTCAGTGTACAGTGTAGGCACAGTGTAGCCAAGACACCAAAAATACATGCATTCCAGCTGTCAGGTTTCAAAGGAGAATCTTTTCATCTGATGATCCTATACTTTTGTGAATACTCACCGAAGTCGCATGAAGAGGACAAAAGCTGCCAGCAACGCCCCCAAAGAAATGCAGTGCCCAAGGTAGTTAATCACAACAGCAATGTGATAATGCAGTTTGCTTCTCTTCTACAACGGGAAAGACACAAGAGGAGTTTGTGAGATCAAGAGAATAGGTGAGAAATAAGACAAGAATATGATTCTAGAAAATGGTGATTCTAGAACATGATGATGAATACATGGTCACCAATCTTTACTTCAAAATTGCTGGGCCCCTAGTTCAGATCCAAAGAAAATGAGCCAGACCTAAAACTGGAACCCCCAAGAACAAGTAGTAAAGAATTTAGTATCAGTGAGAATAGAGTAGAAAAGATAGATCAAGGCAAAAGAATCAGATTTTTATTGAGCTTTCTCTGACCCCAACACTGATTGCTTGCCAAGAGCTCAGATCAACAGTGTAATGACTCGGCTACCCCACTGATGGTACAAATCATTTTACAGCAATCTTTTCTCAGGAGCAGCATTAGCAACTGCCCTCTAAGCATTATCTGTTTGCTAACTCATTCAATGGCAATTAATTCTATAGCTTAACTATGCATTCTGGAAAGAAGGATGTTTTTCCTGGATCATTTCCCAAGCTCTAGTGAAATTGATTAGCAGAAGCTTTAAGATTAACTATGTGCAATTATACCAATGAATGAGAACAACGTTTTGCTGAAAGATATATTGGGAAGTTACAGAAGAGGAGCCACAGACAAGAAGAAAGTGCCCAGCAGTCATTTAGAAATGCAGATTGCTGCATGGTGGTGTTCCCGCCTTCTAAAAGGTGGCCTAATCGAGATCCAAAAGTGGGGGGGGGGGGGAAGGTGTGTGTGTGTGTGTGTGTGTGTGTAATTCTGAATTATTTGCATTATCTGTCTAAGATGCTAACATCTTTTTTTTTTTAAAGGGCCAGCTATTTTTCTCCACATTAATTGCTAATTCACACAGTGGATGCCAGTCTCACAACAGGGCAGTTGGCTAATTTAATTACTTAGTCCTCCTCTCCTGTGATTTCTATCCAAACCCCCAAGGACAGCTAAATTTAATTGCTACAGTGGATATATCATGTTTCCAGGAACCTTGGTTAAATTCTAATTAACTAACAGCCTTCTGGGATTTTCCAGATAATGGCCGCACAACGAAAAGGCCTTGCATACTTTCTTCACCTCCTGCCCTCATGTAGAAACTATAAAGCCAGGAAATGTTTGCACTCACCACTACCTCTTGTTTTAGTGATTGACAAACCATCAAAGACCAACTTAAGTGCAGAAAAGGCTGCATTTTTAAATCCCATGGCTGCCCAACCTCTTCTTGAAAAGCTTCTCAGGTGGTTGCCATACGGCTATAATCTTTTACAAAATACTAAGTTACCCAAATGATACCTGCCATATCCTAGATATTCTGCTGTTAGGATGTTCCCAACTATCTGTCCATACCTTTATTTTTATATTAAATAAGTGGGCACACTTTCAAACAACACTATGCTTTAGCTATCTATCATTATTATGCCTTAGGAAACATTATGGAGCATTTGGTGCTCAGAAGCATTTTTGGAAATAAGGAAAATATTGGAGACAAGTTTTTCACTTTGCAGAATACTTATTATTTAAAATTATTTTTTTAAATAACCCTAACCCAGTTTGAGATGGAAATGTTTGTAAGCATTGCTTATAAGCCCATACATTGGTGACCCCAGACTTCTACACTCAATATTTAAAATCTCAAATTATTTCCATTCCACATGAAAAGAGTTCCGCAAATCCCATTAGATTTTTATTTAAAAACACAAATGCTTAGAACCATAAGATGTAGTTGAAAAGATATCTCTCTGCTCCCAGACTAGCATTCTAGCCACTGCATCTCCCATTTGTACCCATATCAATATCTAATACTGCCTTCTATGTTTAATTAAAAAGAACAGGTGCATCCTTGATTGAACCTTTAATGTAAAATTGTGTCTGCATTTACATTTGAGATGTATTCAAGCACATACACAAATACACATTTTTTGTTGTTTTACTCTTTTTTTAGGTTTCCCTTTTTCTTTTGTTTAATTAAATAAACAGAAACCATGAATTATTCCAATCTGTTCATTGCTAAGATCTCTGTACACTCCGAAAATGATTGAGATGAAATGCTTTGGACCTTGAAAAAGCCCCAAAATCTCAACTGTTCATAGCCTGTCTTTTTCAGACTTCCATATGAAATAAAAAAACAATGTGTTTACTTGAAAAGTGGCTTTAAAGGCCTCAGTTAATGATCTGATTCATTAAATCAGCAATATTTTTTTTACAAGCTCACCAAATGTGATTAATAAACAGCAAGATGCTGTGCTGACATGAGGTGTAAAGAAATGTTTCCAAGTAATTTTTGAAATATGCATAGAACTACTGTCCACATTTTTATTAATAAAAGAATAGTGTAGATCTGGGCCATTTGCTTCATATTAACAGCAATAGCAATATGCTTCAGAGCTAAAGAAGCTTCTTGGATGAGAAGTGAAACGTCTTCAAAGAAAACTAGAAAGTCCTGTTGCTTCTTGAAAAAAGCACTTGTGGGTCAACCGTGACCTGGATGACTGAGAATCTCCATAGACAGCAATAGCAATAGCACTTAGATTTATACAGGTAATCCTTGACTTACAATAGTCTGTTTAGTGACCATTTGAAGTTACAACGGCACTGAAAAAAGTGACTTATGACTGTTTTTCACACTTATGACCATTGTGGCATCTTCATGGTCACATGATCAAAATTCAGATACTTTAATGATGGCTGCAGTGCCCCAAGTTCTTTGTGACTTTCTGATGAGCAAAGTCAATGAGGAAGCCAGATTCACTTAACAATTATGTTGCTAATTTAACAACTGCAGTGATTCATTTAGCAACTATGGCAAGAAAGGTCATAAAATGGGCCAAGACTACCTTAACAACTGTCTCACTTAGCAACAGTAATTTTGGGCTCAATTATTGTCGTAAAGACTACCTATATACTGCTCTATAGTACATTACAGCAACATTAGCTGGCTACTACCGTGTTTCCCCCAAAATAAGACCCTGTTTTATATTTTTTTGCCACCAAAAAATGCACCAGGTCAGTGGGGAAGTCATCCACTGACTAACCTCACTTGTGTACGTTGCCCCTGGCCTCCTTTTCGCTGTCAGAGACCTTCAGGAACAACTTCTGCAGCCGGAAAGGCTTTCCTGAAGGCCTCTACAGCTGATAACAGAGCTCTGGGTTGATCTGGAGCTTTGTTATCAGCTACAGAGGTCTTCAGGAAAGCCTTGCCAGCCTTGCTAGATGCAGAAGAAGTGGGTCGGCAAGGCAGGTATCGGGGTGTGCAAGGCCTGGCTACAACTGTCCAAAAGTAATAGTAGGGCAGCTCTACCCACACATCCCCACTCTAGCTTAATTTTTACCCATGCACTGTGGAGTGGGCGGGATCTTAATTTTGAGGGTAGGGTTTATATTGGGTACACATGTAAAAATCAAGCTAGGGCTTACTTTCAGGGTAGGTTATATTTTCAGGGAAACAGGGCATACAATATCCTTACCTCCTCATGGAGGATTTCTTGGCACTGGGAATAATTCACACGGGCTGCCCAAGTCCCATTTGCAAAACATTCTCTGTACACGTTGTCTGAAAAAGAAAAACACAGTGGTAATTGAGTGGTACAAACTGCATGAAACAAATGACGAAAGAGAATGTCTTATAAAATGAGATATTCTGACTAGGCAAGCAAAATAATCCTTGGTATTCTTAGCTGAATCAGCTGGCCTATAGAAAATATTTTTGTAAGTTTTGTTCATATGTGCGTTTCTTTATATAACAATAGCAGAAGACCCTATAAGTTTGCAGAACTAGATCATGTCATTGTTGTTTTAATAACATATTATTTAATACCACGCATGTGATATGCATGAACAGAAAAAAATTTTATTGTTGAGATTATATGAAAAGTTTGCTCTTGGATTACTGCCAAATTGTTTAGATGCAAATTGTTATTTGATATCTGCCAGAGGCTTGAATGCTATCCTTCATTTAAGACATACAATTAATTATGATGTTACTTGACCCTCCTTAGCAAACTTTGATCACAGAAAAATATGGCTCAAGACTAATATTTTCTCTTTTCAAAAGTGAAAAGAGTTCACAAACAAAACTGGATTTAACAGAATGAGTTAACAGAATTAATTAATTTGAGTCAGGCAAGGACTATTGGATCCAATCTTGACTCTTGCTCACAGGTTTTCTTCTGACCTTTGAATGATCTCATAAAAATGGGGTACTGGTGTATACCAATCTTCTGAATTTGATACATTGCAAATGCATTGATTTATACATCCCATAATTCCTCCCTATCATGAAAGTCCAATAATAAAGTGTGGCATAAAAGAGGCCACAAAGCTAATGAAGAAATCCCAGATTTTCCAGGATTAGAGACTATATTTAATATGAAATTCTTGTGATCTTATTGCATTCTTTAACAAAGTGACAAAAATTAGTGCACCAGAACGCTGTGAATATAATTTACTTGGACTTCAGTAAGATAAAGTTAACCACACTGCTACTTGATAAACTAAAAAATTGTGGATTAGACAGCATAACTACCAGATGAATTCATAACTGGCTGACAAATCACACTCAGTGTGTAGTGTAGTCCTTAATAAAACTGCATATATATGGACGGAAGTATGCAGTGGGGTCCCCAAGGTCTTAGACCCAATACTCTTTAATATCATCATCAATGATTTAGACAAGGGGATAGAAGGGAAATTCATCAGATCTGCAGATGACACCAAGCTGTCAAGAAGAGACAATATTCCAGAAGACAGGCTCAAGATACCAAAGGATTTTGACAGACTTGGGCCCTATCTAATAAAAAGAAATTCAGTGTAGAGAAAAGTAAGGTTTTACATTTAGGCAAGAAAAACCAAATACATAAATATAGAATAGGTGGTATCTGGCTCAACAGTAGTAACTGCAAGAGGGATCTTTGAATCCTAGTGGGCAATTACTTAAATATGAACCAGCAGTGTGCTGCAGCTGCCAAAAAAATAAACACAGTCCTAAGTGCATTAATAGAGGGATAGAATAAAGAACAGGTGATGTTTTATAGTATTACTTTATAATGCCTTGGCAAGACCACACTTGGAATATTACATCCAGTTGCCACAATATAAAAAAGATGTTGAGATCTAGAAAGAGTGCAGAGAAGAGCATTGGATCAGATATGTAGATGACACTGTCACCATAATAAAAAAGAATTAATTAAGAGAATACCCACAGAATCAACCATAACCTGTTTAAAGGAATTCAGTTTACCAGAGAAGAAAAAAATAACAACTTCCTTTCCTGGACATCTTGATCAGCAAGAGACCACTGTTGGAAGAATTATCTTGCTGGGTTCAGTTCCAAGTGGGGAAAAAGACACTGGAAACATGGAGGCTGTTTGGAAAGATAGTTTAATGGTGGACAGGACCACATGGCTTGGAGCTCCAAAAGAGGATGATCACATGCTTCAAGGTGAAGGAAAACAGAAAGAAAGACGAAGATGCTGAGACCCTTATATACCCTCTCTTGGGCCTCACCTTAGTATTTCCTGTTCCCGTGCAAGAAATGTATCCCATTGGCTGTCAGGCTCCCAGGGGCAGGGTCTTAACTAACTTTGTAGGCTTTGTCTGGACCACACAGCTTCACCTGAGTGTTGGCTGATACAATCTTCCCAGGCCAGGTGGTAGAGGCCTTTATTATGTAGACTACTCTGGCCTAGGCCTTAATGGCCCATTAGCAAAGGTGCGGGGGCTGAGTATGCATCCATAAACACTAACTAGCAATCAGAAGACATGATGAAAATTCTTTAATTTCACAATATAAAGACAGATTTCACCATAGTTTCAATTGGGAAAATAGGATTATCCGAGAAGTCCAAAAATGTCAGGGAATTTCTGGAAGCCTGACCCTCTGACAAATCAGCCATCAACACACACATAGACATTAGCAAGATCTATAGAGGATCACCCAGCCCAAAAAGGAACAAAAAGACTCAAGCACTTCTCTACTAGAAATTAGCACCCAGATCAGCACAGATTAACTCCAAGGTTAACATCAGATCAACAATCAAACAAACAACACCCCAGTCAAGAAACAGCTAATGAAGTCAACAGCAAACAGCCCAACCAAGACATCTCTAAGATCCCCACCCCTACCAATACTAGAACATAAACTGAGAGAAACTCTACTCCTTACTAGCATTGATGATGTTAGGCTGTTGGTTTCAGCTCTGGGCTTGGCAATTAGTTGCAAACGTTTCATCACCATTTGAGGAGACATCATCAGTGCGTATTCAAAATTCACAATTCAAAATGCACTGATGATGTCTCCTCGAATGGTGATGAAATGCTTGCAACCAAACTTTCAAACTCGGAGCTCAAACCAACAGCCTAACTACCAACCCAGGCAGGGGTGGGATTCTACCGGTTTTGTGCACTTCTTTTTTTTTTTTGAAAATTTTATTTGGGTTTTCACAAAAAGAAAATACAAATAAAACATCTTTTTTAAAAATAGCATGGTCCCAGGTAATCACTTCTTCATACAGACACAAAACTCTATTTCATGCTCATTTTTATATTCTATTCCATATCTTATTACCATTTTATATTTTCTACATAATTTCTCCCCTCTTTTAATTTTCTCAACTTTGTTTTAATTATCTCAATTCAAATCATTATATTTGTACTTTTGTCTGTCCTGTTACAATTTCACATTATCTTTTCTTATTAAGCAAATTTTTCCCTGTAGTTACCAATTAGAGTATGACATATTTATATCCTTTAATTTTATCCATTCAAGCTCTTTTTAAGCTTCAATGTATAGCTGTGCACTTCTGTAGAACTGGTTGCTCTGAAAAGCAGCAAACAGCATACATAAAAGCGGTTCTATGTCTGTTGCTGTTTTGGTCCACCTGCCCACCCGGGCTCTTACCTGACCTTTACTTCTTGCTTTTTCAACCACAGCTGCTTTGCGCAACACAGCTGTGGTTGAAAAAGCAGGAAAAAAGGGCTTTTCCGACTGCTGTGCATTTGCATGCAGCACTGCTCAGCTGTCCGGGCAGCTCAGCAGGTCGTAAATTGCACTCACGCGATTTGTGCGACTCACGCATGTGCTCATGATACAGAGCGACAGAACCGGTAGTCATACCAGTTGGATCCCATCCCTGAACTCAGGCTATTAATATTCAAACACATTTCAACCCCTGATGATGCTACCTAGTTTGAGTAATGAAACATCTTCAAGAGAACGAGCAAGCTCAGAGAGACCAAGGAGCCCTCACAGGTTAAGCTGAAAGGGAGGGGAAATAATATAGTGTCTTCTTAGAAAGTAGCACCTACTTGACCTTGACTGATCTTGAAAACTGCTCAGCAGGGTCAGACCAGGTTAATATCTCAAACAAAGATCACCAGAAACAAGCTAGGGCAGTCACCTTGATTGAAAATCAGAAGCCCATCCCAGAAGAAAGAAATATCCAACCATTTTCATGTTATATTAAGTTAGTTTTCACCCTTCAGAATTCTTCTTTTAGCATTAGAAATCTCTTCTTCAGAATAGTTTTACTGCACTTTTTCAAGCACTCCAAAAACAATAATGGCAGAGATGGAAGTGTCCTGAAATGCTAAAGCCTCTACATATTGAGCTGTTTTGGGGGGGGAGGGGAGTGGGACAGGAGTGCTGCTGCTGCTCTGCTGCCCTTCCTTGAAGGAAGAAAAGGAACACCTGATTTCCACCCACAATATAGCTTCATAATAAGAATAGATGCTACTCCCCCACATTTCGATCCAAAGCTGTCAGTCAGAAGCGAGTATAAGCTACAACCATTCCAGAAAAGACTGTTGAAAAGTGGCAAAAATACAGTAAAGGTGTAAAGCATGTTATGCAAGAGTGGATGTGGAAGTCAAACGGATGAGAGAGGGAGGAAGGGAGTATTGAGTGTGGAGGGCTAAAGTATGTTATGTGGATATGGAGTGAAAAGAAGAAAATGGGTCTGGAGAGATCTGTGTAGAGGGAATTGGGAATGGCCTTGGAGGATGGGAAGAAGAATACAGAGAATACCAAGGCAACGGTCAGATAAGAGGAATCTGAGCCGATTCAAGAAAGTAACATGAGAATACATCTCAGATTGGCCCCTCCCTCATTCACACAGAAATAAAGGGAGAGAAAAATCACTCAAAATTGGCAAGATGACTATACTCTTACTATAATTATTACAATAAAAGTAGTCCTGACCTACATGGAATTTGATTTCTTAATTTGATCTACTTTATAAGACTGACAGAATGCAACCATATATAGTAGATACAGCTAAGGCTCAAAGAGAAAGCACAATAATTAATATACTTCCCCTAATCCTCATCAGACTGAGCCTCCAATGATCACATGGGAAGTGGGCTAGTGCTCCAAGCTAAATTCTGCCCAGCCACTGGAAAGAAGGAGAGCATATTGTTTGCTGGAAATCCATACTTTCCCAGTCCAAAAGCAGAACATGAGTACTAAAGGCTGTTTTTCAACGTCAACAGGAGTGGGGTGTACAACTTTGTAGTGAAAAAGGCATGAGATAGTTTCTGCCCTAACCATTCTCTATTTTCAAGCTTCTGCCTAAATAAGGAACATAAACAAAATCCTCCTAATCTTTGATCTTCCTAAACTGAGCAGCAAAGTCCGATTGGAATTCTATTTTGTTTGTTTACATTTATGTAGAATGCTATGCTGTACTTTAAACAGACCTTCAAAGTAAGCGGGGCCTTGGAGCTGTATCCAGATTATATAATATAGTTTTTAAAAATGTACATTTAAATACTCTGTTTTAGGTGAATATTAGAACATATTTTGATTAATCCTCAAAGTGAGATGCAAAGAAGAAAAAGTCCCTCCATGCTTCAGTTTGCAGGGATTGATGCTTGATTCAATCTAGGTTTGCCTTTAATATGATCAGGCTAAATGATGGTATTCCACTATCATTATCCCTTCTCTTCCAACTGATGTCAGCATTGATAAAGATATTTGTTCTCTAGTGGACAGTTTTGTTTAGTTTCATTTTAAAGGGAGAATCTTCTTTGTACATGTGTGTTTTCCCCTTAAAACACTAGAATCCTTCATATATTGGCTAGTCCATCCTTCTTGTTTCTCATTGACCCTGTTTCAATTTTATTAAAGTGGGGATTCATCACCAAAACAATGACTGTAACATATCCAGAGTGATATTCAGCAGGTTCTGACCAGTTCTGGAGAACTAATAGCGAAAATTTTGAATAGTTTGGAGAACCGCCAAATACCGCCTCTGACTGGAGATTTTACAGTATCCTTCCCCTGCCACGCCCACCAAGCTATGCCCACAAAACTGGAAGTAACATTTTTTGACTACCACCACTGAACAAATGTGATTTCTCCTCAGATCCAAAACAATGATTGCAGAAATGTCCTATGAACAGATCTGTCAGCAAGGATTTCCCTTAATGATTGTTCTTAAGATATTTGGATTCCAATATCTTCTGTTGGGGTAATGCGGGAGCAAAAATTGAAAACATTTATTTATGTTTTAAGTTGTGAGCCAAAATATATTTTTGGCTCACAACAGTTCCAGGAAACCCTCCCTGTAAATAACATGATCACAACATAAAGAGCCTGGAATCTTCATAACTTTTTGTTAAACCAAAAACATATTATACATGCATCTTCTAATTCCTCTCTACCCACTTCTACTCTACCACGGTCCAACTAACAAAAGCAACAGTTTTAGATTACTGTGCTTCATTTAAATTTTAAATGATCAAGACTAATCCATCTATAATCTTTTGAGTAGGGTGAATTATTAAAGATAGAAAATGCATGGCATTACTTTCTTTTTTCAGAATTCAGGCACCAGAGATGGAAATGTGCTACTTCCAAGCCAATGGACACCTGCCAGTTTTCTGTCTTGCTTTAAACCAATAACCTGATCTAGACATTTTGGAAAGATTACCTTTTCTTCCACAGCCCAAAGATTCAGGATTTTCTTAGTACCATGTAGCATAGTCATATGCAAGAAACTGTACTGAAAAAAGTATGTCCCATTATAACAGTAGCTTTGCTCTTCACTACTGAGAATTCATAGCTCTGGCAAGATTGCAATTCTTATTGACAAGCTGAGAATCGATTAACCAGAAAGTCAATATAGTCCACATGCAGGGAAGGTACTGATAGCAGAATCACTATGTTCTATATTATATAAGCCTTTTTGAACTGGTTGACATGCAGGTATGTTAGATTATAATCTTCATTCTTCCCGGATCTAGCTTTTTACGGAGGCACTGGGATTGTATGGATATTTAATAGGCAGATGGATAGTTAAACCCACTCTGGAAATCTGGGGTACATGCTGAATCAGAATCAGAATAGAGCTGGAAGGAATCTTGAGGTCCTCTAATCCAGTTCCCTGCTCAAACAGGATATCCTATACCTTGCTAATGCTTGTACGATAATAATTGCTTCATAGAAATACAACCAAACCTAATTCCACCCCAGAAGAAGGCTTTTAACACAGAAAAGAAGAAAGTGAAGGTCATTAGCTTTTTCTGAATTATCGTATTTTAGTTTGTTCCCCTCTCACCATATATACGGACCTCAGTGACATTCTCCAAGCAAGCAAACGCTCTGCATTTTGCTATAAGATGGAGAAGCATTGTGGAGAACACTCTAAAATGGAAAAGTAATGGACAAAGAAGGATTAAACCCCCTCTCTTCACCACTTCTCCAGAATGGTTTTTTGAAAAGGCCATTCAGGCTAAAATTACAAGTATTTTCCCATAGCATGTAATTTAATTGAAGAAACAAATACACATGGAAAGGACAGCCTTTTGTGCCAGTAAAATGACGCAGGGCAAATAACCTTCTTTGTCATTAGATGAACGCTTTACTAGCAATCCTCTTAAGAAATAATGTATCAAAGTTATAGCTAATTTGATTTCATAAGATAAAATCCTATATCAGAGAATTCAGGAAGAACATTAAAAAGTTTCAAAACTTCATTCTTTGGTTGAATCATTCCTTGGAGGGTAATTCATTATTTGGACATATCTGGGGTTTTTACAAGTTACAACAAAAGATTCAGGTATAAAATTGAGGTCTTCTTTACCATTTATCTGTTCTGCATTGAGTAAATGACTGGAAGTCTGGCATTTTTTCCTGTTCATTGTTAAGTGACATTTTTCCTGTTCATTATTGGTGACATAAAAATACTTCAAGAAATTGAAGATGGCATGGGATTCAAAACTATGAAAGTTTATGCCAAAATAAATAACCTCACAACCTCGTAATAACAACAAATAAATACAGTTTGAAATTGTTGAATTCTTACTTTGGAAAGCACTGGATTTTTATAAGCACTAGATTTTTAAACCTAAATTTAAATCTGGTTCATAAAAAAGATTTTTAGCTAAATTCGTGTTATAAGTGGTACTTAATTCACAAAAGCTGAAACCTTGGTGAATTCAATACTGTTTAAAGAATGATAGAATTCTAATCTTTTTCACTAGTGTTCGAACATGATTTCCTATCATGAGAGCAAATTTTCTGACCCCATCTCCCAGCACAGAATTGGTATGCCCTGCATAATTTCTAACATATCTTGAATTTCAGAAATAAATATTTTCCAATATGTACATATGAAGGAATGGTTTATTCAGAAATAAAGAACAATCAGTTAAAGTTATGCCCAAATTCAATCCGCACTATGGTTATTCAACTCAGAATCTCTTGGAACAGTTGGTGAAGCTGAATATAGATTCAAAGCTTTACTTGCAGCTGCAAGTACAGTGAACAGAAGGGAAAAATTCCTAACTATCTAGCTGTGTATCAAGTGTGTTTAATCTAGAAGCTTCATGCTATCTGCCAATCACAGGGTCTGTTGTCAGGGCTTATCAGAAGCTTCCCTAGATTATGCAAATTGTTGATTTCATTCATTTAATGCAAGTACTGTACACACATTGACATTTCTATGCTTCCTGATATTCTGGTTCTATCTTTCATTAACATTTGCTTCAGTCTTTGCTTCAATGTGTCTAAGGGAAGAACCTTTCTTCCTGCCGTATGCTCCTACTCAACCCATCTGCTGGCTTACTTGAGGTATTATATCGCACTCCAGAGAAATAGTCAGGGCAGGGACGGGCTACCAGCTGTCCCGCAAGGCTGCGTGGCCAACATGTCCCAATTAGATCCACTAAGGCATTGCACTGAGGGCCTGCAGGGAAGGAAGAAGAGAATAATTTAATAATATATTGACATCATATATTATATACTTGTTTAGAAGATTGAGACAATCTATATTTCCGATATTATTATTAACACACTCTGATGCTAAGGAGTTCTATTCCCCCTCCCCACCTGAAAAGAAATCTGTTCCAAATGCAAAATACAAACAGAGGGGAGGACTTTCAGTTTTACTTCCACAGAAGCAAACAGCTTTACTACAGAACAGTTGAGCTAAGCCACAGCCAGGCTCCTTTCTGTTTCCTTTTGCTCACACACCAAATACTGTTTGAGTTTCCAAACAGTCCTCAACTCTCTCACACACAGACAGGACACTAGCCAGATGAATACCACTGGATGCTGGTGGGCAGGGGCACACTTTTCTCCCCTTATTTTCCTCCTCAGTTCAGATGAATCTTTTTCTTCTACTGTAATACCAGTTAAAGGGAAAAGAGGCAAAAAAACACAGAAAAAGATTATACAGATGCAATTAGGAAAACATTAGTAAGGGAAGCTGAACACAAGTATTGTCAAACTCATCCCCAAGTCAGTAGGCAGGCTGTAAAAAATTATACAAACAGCCCTCAACTCTCTCACTCTCCACCTGAAAAGAAATTTGTTCCAACTGCAGTTGACGCCCAGGCTTCTTACTCACAAAGAAAATACTGTTTCAGTTTCTGTTAAGTTCGGATAATGAGAGGCTGAACCAGGGCATGGGTGCAACAAATACTTTATTAGGATAATAAAGGACTGAACGTGCTTGCCAAGCCCGGAACTGGCTCGCAGCAATCAGCGACTGGTTGGACCCCGCAGCCTGCTTTTATAGCCGGCTGCTGGGGAGAACCAGCCAATGAGAGGGGGCAACCGCCCCCACAGCGCGAACGGACCTGGGTGGGAACTTCTCTAAGTTCCAGGGACATAACACCCCTTCCCCCCAGGAGGCTTGTGCTGGCGCCCAGAACGGCGCAACTCTGGGGAGTTGTCTGGTAGTTCAGAGTCTGCAAGGGAAGGTTGGACCGGTGGGGTGTCACGAACGCGTTCCTCGGTCAGTGCCGGTTCGGGACTCGTAGGGCTGGTCACTGGGGATGTGCTCCCGTTGACTGGTCCGGACTGGTCAGCCGTCTGGTGGTCACGGTTCGTGTTCGGGCTCCCCGACTCGGCTGCAGGCGTGAACTGGTCCCCGGAATTGGTGCTGATGGGGGTTTGATACTGTAGCCTCGCCCCGGTCTGCAACCATGAGTCACTGCTAACGTGAGTGCCTTGGCGCTTCCGCAGCTGATCCAGGTGCCTTCTCCAGATTCGACCATCCTCCAGTCTGACTCGATACGACCTGGGTCCGGTGATGGCCACGATCTCGCCCGGGATCCACAGAGGGTCTCCAGCGAAGTTCCTCGCGAACACGGGTTCCTGTAAGACAAAATGCCTAACCCCCGATGTGGAAGCGAGGGGAGAGTCAGGGCAGTAATGTGGGTGAAGCCTGTCCAATACAGTCCACAGGCGTCTACCCATCAGGAGTTCAGCCGGGGACTTATTAGTGACTGTGCACGGGGTTGAGTGCTGGCTCAGCAAGAAACGGGAGAGTCTGTGGTGCCAGTCTTCCTTGCTGAACCTAGCTAGAGCTTCTTTAGTGGTCCTAACGGCTCTTTCTGCCAATCCGTTACTGGCAGGATGAAAGGGAGCCGTGAAGATGTGGCGGATGCCCAGATTGGCAGCGAAGCGACTGAACTCGGCCGATGCGAACTGGGGGCCATTGTCGGAAACGATTGAGTCTGGTAGCCCGTGCGTTACGAATAGGCGAGTTAATACCTTGGTGACCGCTTGCGTGGTGGTTGTGGACAGTTGTGCCACGTCAATCCATTTAGAGTAAGAGTCCACGACCACCAGGAACATTTTGCCGTGCATCGGACCCGCTAGGTCGATGTGAATCCTGGACCAAGGTGCGCTGGTGCTTTCCCACTTGGTGGGGGTGGCGATTGGAGGGGATGGACGGGATTCCTGGCAGGGATGGCAGGAGCTTACCCATCTGATGATGTCATCGTCGAGGCCGGGCCACCATACGTAGCTGCGTGCTAATGCCTTCATCCTGACGATGCCAGGGTGGCCCTCATGCAACGCCTCCAAGACTCGGGTACGCAGTGAGGTCGGGATGACCACTCGTGTGCCCCACAGCAAACAGCCCTGCAAACTGGATAACTCCTGTAGGCGGGTCTTAAAAGGCGTGAATTTGGTTTCAACATCACTGCCCGGCCACCCCATCCTCACCCAGTCCAGTACCTGGGCGATCGTTTTGTCTGCCTTGGACTTGGCGGCAATGTCAAGGGCAGTGATGGGGAGGTCCAGTTGGGTGACCTCAAAGATAGCATGGACCGGGGCAGGATCCTCGGCAGGAGCAGGCAGGGGGCAGCGGCTGAGGGCGTCTGCGTGGGAAAATGTTTTACCTGGACGGTGTATGAGTCTATACGAGTATGCCGCTAGGAAAAGAGTCCACCTCGTCATTCTAGGAGACAGGACTTGAGGGGTCTGTTTGTCACCTGCTAGTAGACCCAGGAGAGGCTTATGATCCGTGACCAGCTCGAAAAAGTGGCCAAAAAGAAATTCATGGAATTTCTTCACAGCTGCGACAGCTGCTAAAGCTTCCTTATCGATTTGGCTATAATTGCGCTCTGTTGCAGAGAGCGTCCTGGAAAAAAAAGCGATGGGGGCTTCGGAGCCATTGGGGAGCCTGTGGCTTAACACTGCCCCAATTCCGAAAGGTGATGCGTCCGCTGCTAGCACTAATGGAAGGTTGGGGTCAAACTGAATGAGGACCGCCTCCGACGTGAGTAGTGATTTGACTGCGCGGAAAGCGGAGTCTTCCTTGTGACCCCAATGCCAAGGCGATTTTTTGTCCAAAAGTCTGTGCAGGGGTTCCGCCACAGATGCTTTATGGGGCAGGAACGACGTGTAAAAATTCAATAGCCCCAAGAAGGCCTGCAGTTCCGCTTTGGAGGTTGGAGTGGGTGCCTCGTGAATTGCCTTGACCTTGGACTCCAGGGGGTGAATGCCTGAGGCGTCAATTTTATAACCCAGAAAGTCCACCTGTCTAGTGGCAATGGCACATTTTTCTTTTTTTAATTTGAGGCCATGCTGTCTGAACCTCTCTAACACTGCTCGAACTCTCTGGAAGAGTTGGGGTCTGTCCCTGGCCGAGACTAAGATGTCGTCGAAGTAGGGTACTACACCAGGGAGGCCCTGCAAAATCCGCTCCATGAGGGATTGAAAAATGCCTGGGGCAACACTTACGCCAAACTGGAGATGCTTGCACCGGAAAGCACCCCTGTGAGTGACAATGGTCTGGAGTTCCGCTGTTTGGTTGTCAACAGGAAACTGTTGATACGCTTGAGACATGTCCAATTTGGCAAAAATGCTGCCAGGTTCAAAAGTGTGTAATAAATGCTGAATGACGGGCACTGGGTAAGCGCTAACTTGTAAAAACTTATTAATTGTGGTTTTGTAGTCCGAGCAAATTCTCAGGCTACCGTCTTTTTTGAGGGGTGTGACAATGGGTGTCTCCCATTTGGCGAAATCTGTTGGCTCAATGACCCCTTGTTTTAATAATTTATCCAGTTCCGCATCTAATTTAGGCCGAATAGCGAATGGGACTCTACGAGGTTTTAGCCTGATTGGGACTGCTTGGGGGTCGACTGAGAATGAGATAGGGGTACCGTTATAACACCCCAATTCATTGCTGAAAACGTCTGAGTAGTCAGCGAATAAGGAGTCAGTGTCAGAGGTTGAGACAGCATGGACTCCTGTTAACCCTAGGCCGAGATGGGGGAACCAATCAAGCCCCAAGAGTGTGGGGAGGTTGCCGTTGACTACCACTAGAGGTAGGTGGCCTTTGAAAGTTTTAAAATTAACAAGAAACTTGCCTCTGCCGATTACAGGAATGTCCTTCCCCTGGTAGTCCTTCAGGCTAAACTGGCACTTCTGGAGCCGGTTTCTGGATAGATTGGGCTGTAGTCTCTTGAGGGTGCTCCAAGAGATAATTGAGAGCGCTGACCCCGTGTCAACCTCCATAAGACAAGGTTTACCTTCTAACAAAACGGAGAGAGAGATCTTACTAATGGCATGGCAAGCGTGCTTAGCATGGTGGCGAGTGCGACAGTTCAATACTTGCCTTTGGGGTCCAGAATGTGAAAAGGAAGGGTGCCTTTGTGCCGAGTTGTGAGCGGCTTGACAGACTCTAGCGATGTGCCCCTTTCTGTGGCAAATGTTGCAGGTGGCTCCCTTGAACTTGCAGGTGGTCCTCAGGTGAGATCCACCACAGGATAGGCACAGGGTGATGTGCTTGGGTGGACTGATGCTTTCTTGCTTGGCTCCTACCTGCGGGTGTCTGGCGTGGGCGAGGCGGTGGATGTCGGCCGCATCGCTGGGGTCCTCTTCGATGACCACCTCTTCAGAGTGGACTGAAACTGCACTTTGCTTGGAAACAGGACCTTGGATTTCGGTGGCTGAGTGTGCTGCCAGCTCTGCTGCCAGGGCTTCCTCGACGGCTTGCGCGAGGTTGAGGTCCTTCCTAGCGAGTAGGCGCCTTTGGAGGTGAAGATCCTTGACTCCACAGACTAGCTGATCGAGGAGCATGTCTTCCAGGTAGGTCCCAAACCCACAATGGAGAGCTGCAGTCCTGAGGGCAGCCATGTACTGGTTGATGGTCTCTTTGTCTGATTGCTTCCTCATTCGGAAGGTGAACCGCCTGGCAATCTGTGAGGGTCTAGGAGAATAGTGGTTAGTAAGGATTTCTAACAGTTCTGTCCAGGGAACGTTTTTTAACTCACGTGGAGCCACGAGTGCTGTGGCAGTATCAAAGACGATGGCTCCACAGTAGATCAGGAAATATGATTTTTTCCGGTGCTCCCCTGCATCAGCCAGCCCTATGGCGTCGATGTAGTGGTTAAAACGATTCTTGTATGACTCCCACTTCTCCTCATCCAGCTTGAACGATGGGAAAACTGGGTTGGAGTTCATGATGAGAATCTCGTTGGATAATCTGTTGAGAAAATCTCTCTGGGGCAGCAGCAGGAAGGTTTTCTGTGCCTAAGGCAGGCTAGTGATTTCAGCTCTGGGGAGGTTTTCACAACTCTCTCCCTCTCTCTGGATTAACACAAGGTTAGGCTGCAACGGCCATTGGCAGCGTTTTGAAATTCGCGCCTGCGTGGGCGTCAGTGACTTTGAAATACAGCACCGCGCTGTACTCTTGGGCGGAAATTCAAATGACAGCCGTTTGAATTTCGCGCCTAAAGAAACGAGCGGCTGCGGCTCGCAGCGCTTCACTTTCCCTGTAGCTTGGCTAACTAGCGGCTACAGACGCTTCTTACTCTCGCTGTTTGCTGACCGCTCTCTCTGGCTGCAGATCAGAGTTCGCTCTTGTTGCCTGCTGATCGTTCTCTCTAGTTGCGGATCAGCGCTCGCTTTTATTGCCTGCTGATCGTTCTCTCTGGCTGCGGATCAGCGGCTAGTGATTCAGCGGTTGCATTGTGCCTCTGGTAGCCATCCCATCCTCGTCGCCAGTGTTAAGTTCGGATAATGAGAGGCTGAACCAGGGCATGGGTGCAACAAATACTTTATTAGGATAATAAAGGACTGAACGTGCTTGCCAAGCCCAGAACTGGCTCGCAGCGATCAGCGACTGGTTGGACCCCGCAGCCTGCTTTTATAGCCGGCTGCTGGGGAGAACCAGCCAATGAGAGGGGGCAACCGCCCCCACAGCACGAACGGACCTGGGTGGGAACTTCTCTAAGTTCCAGGGACATAACAGTTTCCAAACCACCCTGGACTCTCTCACACACTGACAGGATGCTAGCCAGATGAATACTGATGGATGCTGACAGGCAGAGGCACAATTCCCACCCACCCCCATTTTCCTCCCCCAAAACTTGCCCAATCACATAGTTTCATAGCAAAGCACGGGTACCCTGCTAGTTTAGTATAATCCTGCAGAAATAGGATAAGGGAGGCATGATACAAATGGCTTGGTATACATAACCAAAAGCAGATGCTGTTAGTTTCAGAAAACCATATTCCATTCTTTTTCAGAAGCATCTATATAAAGACAAGTTCAACACCTCTTGTTGAAACCAAATGAGGTTAGCGTATTCTTTATCTGGGAGTTTTATGTTCTATCTCCAGAACAAGATAGACTCGAGACCGGAGTTGAGTTCAGCTCTTTATTTAACTGTCAGTAACTTCAACTAAACTCAAGCCGCGGCAGCCTCTTTTATAGCAGCTGCTCACGGCTCACAACCAATGGCATCATTTTAAACCTCCCGCCGTTTAGGCGGCCAATCATAATCTGTTGTTAACCACCAATCGCTAGGCTGTAGTGGTTGTCCAATCGGAACATAGTATTACGAGTATGCAAATGTCTATATACAACACCTTATGTTCCTTTGTACACCAAAACGCTTCCTGTGAACAAATATTTGTGTTTTATCGAGTTTCCTTCTTGATATCAGATTGACTGCCATACTTGGAGGAAAAGGTGCTTTAAATTAAGCTCCTGGTTAAATTGACTAGCAGAACCACTGTTGTTTTTCTCAATATGTGTGATCTGGTTCTCCTGCTAGAGACATTGAAAGTTATTTGTTCTGGCATCTGTTCTGTAAAGCACTCACAAAATATTCTGACTGATTGCTGCAAACAGAAAAGAAGAATATTAGTTAAAATCTGTGCCAATGCTTATCAACCTTGACTATTTTAAGAGGTATGTTCAACTCCAAGAATTCCCTACAGTTCTTAAAATGACCAAGATTGAGAAACACCAGTCTAGATCATTTTGTTCAGCTGCACCTTTTGGTTTATTTTCTTGATTTTTCTATGTAATTTCTGCACCTCACACATTTCCTTGTAGTTTAATTTAACAGCAGAAGCAATGTACTTTGCCAGGCCCTAAAGTTTAAGAAAGAAAGAAAGTTAATTAACTTATGGGCTCTGATTAAATGAGTCATTTCAGAAGGCTTTTCGAATTAGCTCCTGCAAAAAATATGAAACCAGGATGAAATCAACAGAATTTTTCTCCAGCATGGCCTAGAATTCTAATTAACATATATATGCATGCACATGCACATAAATATGCATAATCAGAAAAAAAATGTATCTTTCAACTTCACTACTCATAGAACCATTCATTCATTCATTCATAATGGAAAACAGAATATTACTAATATTACTACTACTACTACTATGCCACATCTGCAAAGAAACTAAAGAAACAGTAGTTACAAGAAGATTGCACAGGCAGACTACAAACACTAGCATGACCAAGTAGTAACAATGGTGTATTGAAAGATGTACGTATAAGAAATGCCATTTGCCTTCAAGTGAGAACCAGTTTTTAAATGACTGGTTGTAAATTGAAAATTATTTGTATATTAAACACAAATTCCAATAGGAGAGAAAATATATAGCCCCGAATTCAACTATGAAGTTCTTGGTGCTCTCTGAGCTTGGCTGTATGCCTGCAGATGATTCATTACCCGACTAGGTAACATCAGTAGCCCTAGTGAATATGGGCTTGTTCCCCAGTGAATGTGGGATTTGCTCCCTGCACCATACCGGCAGAGGAAACTACTGTATATAAACAGGAAGCAAATTTCCTAATCATTAGCAATAATGATGTTATCTAATGAATTGTGTGGAAGAAATAACCAGGATCAGAAAGCACGAAAACGTAAACACAAATTGGCATGAATTCAGTAGATATTCTATTGGTATTTACCTCAGCTCTAAATTGGACTAAGACACACCTATTTCAAGAAAGCCTGAACTAAAATCCTCTGCAATGCCTATCAAACATGTTAAACCAAGGTCAATCCAAGTCATTTTGTGGGTTCTAAGAACGTTTGGTTGTGATATCTGTCTAACTCTTGATAGCTAATGTTGACAGTGCAGGCTGGCTAGATATGTAGATGTTTCATTCCATCCTTTTTGTGCATGTTTTTATCTTTCAATATTTGGTAGTAGAGGACACCCATCCCCCAAAGAAGAAATTCTGATGAAGCAAGTTCATTACTGCAAAATCCCTATCAACTAAAATGATTAAAGAGTATATTGGTATGTGCTACATTCAAACTATTCAGTGGCTCTTTTGGCTCAGCCCTTGATATTCAGATACTACTGATACCTGCAGAAGTCATGGATCAGTAACTTGTAAGACCTACTACTCGACCATGCATATAAAGTCAACTGGCATGAGGATGTACAAGTTTCTCGGAAGGAATACCAAATGGAAATGATATGCAGGTGGAGCACAGATAGTATATAAAAGATATTTTTTTACCTTATTTAAATTGTGCCTTTATTGTGTTTTATAAATAACTCAAGGCAATGAATATATCTAATAATCTTTCCTCCTATTTCTCCCACAACTCTGTGATGTGAGTTGGGCTGAGATAGTATCTGATCCAAAATCACCCATCCAGCTTTCATACTAAAATGGGACTAGAACTCACAATCTCATGGTTTCCTACCAGCTGCCTTAAAACTGAGCCAAACTGGCTCTAATTTGTATTTGTATAATTACATTTTACAAATGCACACATTTGGTTAATATTTGAAGCTGCCTCGTATTGAGATTATAAATCGGAGTAATAATTTAGTCTATGTGAGATCTCTCCCAGTTTTCTTACTTTAGATTCATTTTTAAATCAGAGATGCTGGAGATTGTGCTTCAATGGAGAGTTACATCTTCATCCTTACAAGCAAAAGCAATCATGGCGCTCATCCCCTCATCCCAAAGCATTGTCCATTACCCAATTTATTGCTATTCAAATCTTGATGCTCAGCTTCTAAACTAAAAATTATTTTTGACTCTCTCCATGGAAGGTAGATGAGAAGCATGTTTGATTTATTTGAAATAGCTTATTGCTCATAATCACTCATAAAGCCATCACTCTACATGTTAAATGAACTAATACAAGGCAAATATATCTATTTTTGCATAATGCAGTAGTGTATGGCCAAATATGTACATACACAGAAACCCACAAATTCAAAATTCAATACATATTTTATACCTATTTCTATTTTTGATTCTATGCATATTTAATTAATTCAGTTGGAATGCTCCTTGATTTTGGAAAATATTATTTTTTAAAAAAAATTATTGGTTTTTAAAACAAACATAAACAAACAAAACATAAAAACTTCAAGTCACCTTCCATATATGTACATACAGTGTGCCGGTTGGTTTACAAATTGTTTTGTGCTTCTATTTCATAGTCTTCAATTATAATTACATTGTATATAATCTCATATTTTCAATCAAATATTAAATACATTAATATCATTATTAATCAATCATTTGACTATACTTTTATTCATTCATGTTTTACAAAATGATCATATTTTACTTAATTTGTTTTATGTCAATTCATATTATCATCCCACATCTATCCTAGAATCATTTTGTAGATATAATAAGAAAAGAACACATCTTTATATATTTATTATTTTCTAAAAGTCTACATATTTCATTACTATATTTTATTGTCTAATCATTGATAGAATAGATCCCAAATTTTATAAAATTGTTTACCATCTTGTTCTCTAATTTCAAATGTCAATCTACTCATTTCAGCACATTCCAATATTTTCTTAATGATTTCCTCCTGTAATGGTATTTTCTCATTTTTCCAGTTTTTAGCAAATACAATTCTAGCCGCTGTTAATACATTTACAATCAGGTATTTCAAGTCTTTACTATATATTTCAGGTAAAATTCCCAATAAAAATATCTCTGGTTTCAAATCTATATGTTTTTTTGTCATTTTTTCCAACCACGTGTGGATTTTAGTCCAGTAATTTTTTAGCATCCGCACAAGTCCACCACCTATGGCAATATGAACCGGGTGTCTGATGACATTTCCAACATTTTTCGGATTTATTCTTGAACATTCTTGCTATTCTTGTTGGGGAAAATGACACCTGTAAAACATCTTATACAAATTTTCTTTCTATGCTGTTGACATTGTCATTTTGTAATTTTGAGACCACAATTTTTGCCATTTCTCTAGATCAATCCCATATCCAAAATTCTTCCCCCAAGCAATCATTGTTTCTTTAACTTGTTCTTCTTCTAGTTTAATTTCTAATAAATATCCATATCATTTTTTAATCACCTTTTCATCAGTACCTGTCAAAATTTTATCTAAGTCAGTCAGTTTATCATAGAAATCTTCTGTGTTAGAATCTTTATCATACCTTGAATGTATTTGCGCATATGAAAACCAATTCATCTTTATACCTTGTTCCTCTAGTTTTTGTATAGATTTGAGTTCACCCTTTTCATTCAATATTTCATCATATCTAACTGTTTGTTCCTTTTTGTATATTATAGGATAAGAAAATGCTTCAATAGTCGATAGCCAGACTGGAATTTTCAAATAACATTGTCTTTTAATCTTCTCCCAGTTTAACCACAGAGACTCCCGTATATAATGTCTTCTAAAGTACCCCTGTGTTTTAGTTCCTTTATACGATAAAAAAGCATGCCACCCCAACAACAAATCATGTCCTTCTAATGTTAACAATCTAGTATTTCTTAATGTTATCCATTCCTTAGCCCATATCGAATTTGTAGCTTGGTAATACAACTCCCAATTAGGCAAACCAAATCCTCCTCTTATTCTAGCATCTTGTAAAAGTTTTAACTTTATTCTCGCTTTCTTACCTTGCCATATATATTTCAACACAATTTTATTTAAATCTTCAAAGTAATCTTTCCCAAGCCTAATTGGAATTGTTTGAAACAAATATAGAATTCTGAATAATACATTCATCTTGATTTCTGATCTTCTCCCTATTAATGACAGTTGTAAATTTTCCCATTTCGCCAAATCTAGCACTATCTGCTGTTTAAGTTTGATATAATTATTCTCTTTTAGTGTACTGCATCTTGCTGTCAAATTGCCTGATTTTAAATAAAGCAGCCACTTTATGAACATCAGACAGCAGATTTTGCAGTCCCTTTATTTTATTTATTTGCAATAAAACTAAAATTTTAAATGGAAAGGAAGGAAAGATTGCAAGGGGGAAAGGACAGCAAAAAACAATGGGCAATTAAAAGATAATATTATGTGAATCTCTGATAAAATTGTATGAATGACAAAGCATCATTATATATTAGGCATCGTCTACAAATGCTCTACATGTGCAAATGTGGTTTAAATTGTAATATGCCCTACCAGCTCACATAAATCATATACGGCTCATATGGATGACAGAAAAAAAAGCTCAGATTGTCTCATACTATGGATAAATGACAGAGACAGAGTATAGGTTGTGACATCTATGTGGCTGGCTTGTCACTTTTTTTTATAAAAAAATGAAATTGGGACTTCTGCATATCAATATATATGCACAGCTTTTGAATAATGCTTCCCCTGTTCTGTACAAAGGGCATGATTTCATAAGAGAGGGAAAAATACCATTCTCCTAGATTACCAGTTCTATGCTCTGTTGATTTAAGAATGCAAAAAGAGAAATTTGCAGGTTGAGAATGAATAAAATACATTCTTTCTATCCACACTCCCATCTAATTTACAAGAATGCTCTTGTGATATGATTACTATGCATTTCTGGTGTCTGGAAACAGACAGATTCAAAGACTTCCTTCAGTAGCTAATTAGCCACTTAATCAACTATAATTGACCAATAACTGACTTGCAGAAGACTGGAGGACACGCCTCCCTGTTTTGCATGAAATTATTTAAAAACTATATCTGAATAAAGCAAATAAAACATCTTTTCACCTTCTTCTTTTCATTCTTTACTTCCCAAATGCATTTATTTACTTTTTATTTATTCTTATTGTTTTGTCAACAATATCGAGGTAACAGGTGAGATTTATTACATTTCAGTGCAATTCGCAATGCACCGCAAGTTCCCACGTAGATTGAAGGGAAGCAGGCCAAAGTATTACTATAACTGCCCCAAATGAAATAATATGGTAGATGCCAAGAGACTGAGGACCAGTCAGATTTTATGTGGCATTAAAATCAGCAAATTATAATATCTTCCTTCAGCACTTGTAATTGGTGTTATCCAGTGATGGGATTCAAAATTTTTTACTACCAGTTCTGTGGGTGTGTCTTGGTAGGCATGTCGTGTCTTGGTGGGCGTGTCTTGGTGGGCGTGGCAGGGGAAGGATACTGTAAAATATCCATTCCCTCCCCACTCCTGGGGGAAAGTTTCTGTAAAATACCCATTCCCTCCCCACTCCACTAACCTGCTTTCCAGCTCCATTCTCCTGTGCAGCGCAACCAAAAAGGACCCAGCCAATCAGCTGGGACTCAAGAGGCAGAGAATAGATGAGTGCGGAGCCAGTCAGAGGTGGTACTTGGAACTACTCAAAATTTTCGCTACTGGTTCTCCAGAACTGATCAGAAACTGAGGAATACTACTTCTAGTGTTATTGGTGGATGAGCAGCACTGAGGACTAGGTTAATAACTGCTTTTTCTAGTCATTCTCTATAATCAGTATGCCCCAATCTGGAGAATTAGAATACTTTATCTACATAATAGGGTTTTTAAAGAATTATATAATGCCTGGGAATTCCAAAATAGCTACACCCAACTCAATAATAATAGAATAATGTACTAACCTATGATTTTAGTATGCATTTTGTGGGCCAAGAGCTGCATTAAATCATATTGAGAAATGCATTTATTCTGAGATAAAATACATTTATAGCTATTATTCTAAATAGTATTTAGACGTATATTTTGAAGGCATTCTGTTTAAAATACATGGATTAATGTAAAAAGCGGGGGGTGAATTTATGAGTGAAACCAATACAAATTTCTCTTTCATTATATCCGTAGTTTATTGATTTCATGTTATTTTACATTGTGTAAAAAACTTTCAAGAATTTAATGCAAGACTAAAAGAGGACTCTTATATTTATACTTAGATGATTGTGGCTGTGTCCAGATAGTTCACTGTTTGACTGGGTTGCCTAAAATGGCACTATAAATTATGCTTGGAACATATTTTGCTTTGTAAAAATACACTTGACACAAATTAATGTTGCTAAAAATATGGCAAAATACATAAAAGCTAAAAAAGACTGAATGAAAATTGATAGAGAAATAGCTACCAATATATTATTAAAAAACACACCAAACCAGTAGCTCTAGCTAAGATATGTTTTTATTTCCCAGTTCCCTCTGTTATCAGCTTTCTTTCTTTACACAACAGAATCAAATATTATTTTGACAGCGATGTCCACTCAGAGCTTTCCAAATATGTATTTTCTTTTTCTCCACACAGCATCCATCATGCAATAAGCCCAGCGTACAATAGTAGTCTGACTTTGAAATCCCAAGGCTGTCTGTGAGCGAAAATACATAGCCCCAAAAGTCAGCTTAGTGGAAGCTGAGGCACAATGGAGTTAAAATGAATTCTTTAAATGTTACTGCATTCAATGCCAAAGAAATCACTAGGCAGAGGAAAACAGCTATATCCCTAAACAGCTGTTTCTGATTGCATAACCAACTTTAGCAAGTGATTGATTACTCAATGCCTTATCATCATGCCTTTTCTGGCCATGTTTCTATGACATGCTGAACCATAAACTAGTGAACTATATTTTTCATGACTAGTTAGTTGTGCTCTACACGTCATACTCAGAAGGGTGACATGGAGCTTAATTATGCTTTGGCTGGTCTGTCTTTCCCAGTTTTCCTCTTGTTCTTTTGCCAAAGTTATCTCAGCCAGTATGTATCAAATGGCTGTCAAACAGCACATCATCGAAACAGACTTTAAGATATAACCAATGAAAAACCTAAGAAGCCAGTGATGCCACAATTTGGGGGAAAATAAATAACAAAAATAGCACAACCATCCATCCTGGCTGGCACTCAAGGGCACAGAGAAGCTACAAAAGCAAAGAAATAAAATCCTTGAAGGCAGAAACTAAATATGACAAGCCAAGTTCAGGCCCTGCCAAAAAGGAAGCGAGTATTTCATCATACATTTATTGTGCAGAGGCCTCGGAGGTCCAAGATTCTCTTGGGAAACCTGATCCTTAATGGGAAAAGGCAGGTAGGATATGATTCTGTGTATTATCAGAAACAGCTGGGTAGATGGCAGCATCAAGACAATTGTTAGATCGGGTAGATCGGTTCCCACAGAGACGCGAGACCAAAAGTGATCATTCAGCTCTTTATTGTGTATACAGACCAGTAAAGACAGCTGGCATTTTTCTTTTTTAACTTTAAGCCCCGAGTCTTTGAATTTTTGTAGTACCTCCCTTAGGCGTTTTTCCAATTGTGTTTTATTGGTAGCTGCCACCAGCATGTCATCAAAGTAGGGCACCACCCCTTTGATCCCTTGGAGCAGTCTTTCCATTAGGCTCTGGAAGACTCCTGGTGCCATGCTGACTCCGAATTGGAGTCTGTTACATCAGAATGCCCCTCGGTGGGTTATGATAGTTTGCGCCTCTGTAGTTGTAGCATTGACCAGCAGCTGCTGGTAGGCTTGTGCCAGGTCGAGCTTCACGAAGACCCGGCCTCCCCCTAGTGAGTGCAGGAGATGCTGTACTACTGGGACGGGGTAGGCACTCTGCTGCAGTGCGTGGTTGAGGGTGGCCTTGTAGTCACCGCAAATTCTTACAGACCCATCTGGGGTGACTATGGGGGTCTCCCATCGGGCATGGTCAATCGGCTCTAAAACCCCTTGTGCGATGAGCTTGTCTAACTGCTCATCGATCTTGGGCTTGAGTGCGAATGGCACTCGCCGTGGCTTAAGGCAGATTGGGGCAACGTTCGGGTCTAGAATGAAAGAGATTGGGGACCCCCGGTACTTGCCTAAGGTGTCGTCGAAGACCTCTTGGAAGTCCCTCACGAGTGCCGCTTCCCAGTCCGCCTCATCGATGTGGTGGATTCCCGTCACCTCAATTCCCAGCGGTGTGAACCATTGTAGTCCCAGCAGGCTTGGGTGGTCTCTGTCTACGATGGTGAGTGGCAGCACTTTGGTATGCCCTTTAAAGCTTAGTTTGAAATGTCCAGTTCCGACTACAGGGATACGGTTTCCCTGATAGTCCTTTAGGGTCAGCTTTTGATTTTCCAGCTTGTGGCAGTGGATGGTAGGCACCAGGCGTTTGATTGTGCGCCAGGAAACCATGGAGAGGTAGGATCCAGAATCCACCTCCATCTCACATGGTTGATCCTCAATACCCACCTCCACGGGCACCTTCCAGGAGTCGATGGTCGAGGAGTGGCCGATGACGACCATCTGATGGGTCTCCTCTCTCCGCTGCACCTCGCTGAGCTGTTTGCTCTGCCCATCTCAGCTCCATTGGCTCTCAGTGTGGTGGTCTCTGGTCCTGGGGGCGGGTTGCCATCTCGTCACCAGGGGCTGCCGTCTCATAGTTGGGGGCTGTAGTTCCGCTTATTCCGGCACACCTTGGCGATGTGCCCCCGCTTGTTGCAATGCCGACAGATAGCATCAAGGAAATGGCATTCAGAGCGGGGGTGATCACCTCCACAGCTGGCACACTGGAACTCCGACTTACATCCTCTCCGCTCCGCCTGGAGTCGGTGAATTTCTTCCTCCTCGTCTTCGGTGTCAGAGAGGGAATCGATGTCGCCATGGTGGGTGGTGGTGATCGCCCGGTGGCTGGTCTCTGTGTGTTTCTCAGGGGCCGGGGTTGTCTCGATGGCTGCTGGTCAGTCCGCTGTGCTCGCCTGCCGCATCTGAGCCACCAATTTCTTGGTTGCTTTGGCTGCAGTTGCCTCGGCAAGGGCTTCGGTGAGGGAGATGTTGCCCCTGGCCATTAGCCGGCTCTGCAGAATGGGGTCCTTGAGCCCGAGGATGACACAATCTTGCAGGGCCTCATCCATGTCGGTGAAACCTCACATGCCTCCGAGGTCCCTCAGTTCAGCCATGAAGTCGCTGACACTTTCACCCTCCTTCTGGTCCCGCCGGTAGAAATTGTGCCTTCTGATGAGGGTGGGCACAGCGGGGGCATAATGGTTCCACAGCAACAGTTCAAGGTCGGCCCAGTCCATCGCTTTTACGTTGTCGGGTTTGGCTAGGGCCTTTGCCATCTTGAACACTGCGGGCCCGCAGTGTGTCAGGAACACAGCCCATTTTTTCTGTCTGTTGGCATCTTTTAGATTGCTGCTTTCCAGGAACATTAGGAATTGGTCAATGTAGGATTCTCAATCTTCGGCAGCCTGGTTGAAGGACGTGGGTGGCGCGGTGATGCTGGCCATTTTGTCGGTCGTTTTGTGCCGCTTTGCCACGTGCTTGGTTGGTCTCTTGTCTCACGATCCCACCTTCGTTGCCAGTGTTAGATCGGGTAGATTGGTTCCCACAGAGACGCGAGACCAAAAGTGATCATTCAGCTCTTTATTGTGTATACAGACCAGTGCAAGACTTGTGAGCCATGGCAACCCTTCATATAGAAATTGCTCATGGCTCGGCGGCCAATGACAGGGCTTTGAATCTTCCACGATCGGCTCGGCCAATCGCACTTGATTCTTAGCGCGCCAATCACGGCCGTTTAGTTGGCCAATCAGGTTGCGGTCCATGTGGACCAATCAGGATTTAGGGTTTGGAGTATGCTAATATAGAACACCCCTCCCCTCTTGGTTTCGCCTGATGGCAGATAAAAAATTCTCTTCTTCTTCTTCTTCTTCTTCTTCTTCTTCTTCTTCTTCTTCTTC